TTAATCTGAGGACTCTGTTTTCTTTTCGCGATCGTTAGAGCGAGCGCAGATACCTTTCAGTTTTAATTTAGATCGGGCTCGTCATACCGCACGTGACATTTGCTACGTCATATGTATGTTGCATTACCAAAACGAAGTCTGAACAGTGCTAATTTTAATCAAGAACGTTGAATCAACTATTTTTCTGCTATATATCCAATAAATAGAGATGATTTTTTTGGTTTTGTTTTGTTTTGTTTTTTGTTGCTACCGCGAGAACATAAATTGCGGCGAGATGCCATTCCTCTCTCTCTCTTTTAAACTAAACTCTTTATCTCAAGAATTAATTTTGAAAACTCAGTTTTTTTCCGACTTTTTAATTAATCAGCGAGTGATAGATCTTCTATTGGTTACCATATCAGGCGTCGCCCGCATGGCGCAGTGGTTAGAGCGTTTGCTCTAGAGTCGCAGAGTAGTTGATCCTTATGTCTCGAGTTCGAATCCCACTGTGAGACGTTGAGACCGGTCCTTCGGATGAGACCGTATAAACCGAGGTCCCGTGTCGCAGTAGGTGTGCTGGCACGAAGAAGATCCCTCACAGCTGAATGGCCCTGAGTGAAGAGTGTAGGTCAAAATTTGCAGCTCTCCACCGGCAAGTGGTGGCATGGCATGTCCATGTGAGTGAAAAATTCTCGAGAGGGACGTTAAACATCAAACAAACAAACCATATCAGGTAATTCCTACTTCAAACATTTATTTGGTAAAGAGTCAGATCATGATTGTATAAACGTTAATGTTGAGGAATGGATTGGGTCGTTTTGCTTTACCAGTTGTCCGTTTGTACCATTTGAATATTAAATCATAGACATAACTAGCATATTTCCTTAATATTTTTAGTATCTAGTTATCTGAAAGTTTAAATGAATATTTTTGTTGACCGTCCCTTAATTTTTAAAAATACATTACATATCTAGCATTGAGTTATATATGAACTTATTTGGAGAACTTTTGTGACAGGGATTATTGATGTAAGAAAAACACCTGTGGGTTCGATCATGTATTATTCAATCAGTCATAATCACCATAAAAGTATTGCTGTCCTATTTGTGGAATACAGCTGACCCCTTCTTTTGATGTCAAAAAGAAACTTTTTTGTGCTTTTGTTGACTTTAAACAGGCATTCGACACGGTGTGGAGAAATGGGCTTTGGTACAAATTGTTAAATAATGGCATTAGTGGTAAATGTTTTACATTTATAAAAAATATGTATAATGGAGTTAAGTCCCTTGTGATTATGAATGGTTTTTCATCTGAGTTTTACAACTGTAACATTGGTGTACGCCAAGGAGAAAATTTATCGCCTCTCTTGTTTTCTATGTATATTAATGATTTAGAAGAATTTCTCACTAGTAAAAATGTGCATGGGCTATCCTTTAATGCAAGCAGTTCAAACACTGTAGAAAACCAATTTTGGCTGTATTTTAAATTATTTATTTTGTTCTATGCTGACGATACAGTTATGATGTCTGAGTCTGCTGATGGTTTGCAACACGCTCTTAATGAGTTTCATTCGTATTGTTTACAATGGAAACTGAATGTCAATGTAGACAAAACAAAAATTATGATTTTTTCGAAAGGTCCATCTGTAAAAAATGTATTCTACTACAATAATTCTGTTATTGAAATTGTGAATGAATTTAAATACCTAGGTATACTATTTTCCCGATCCGGTTCATTTTGTAAGGCTAAAAAACATTTATGTGAGCAAGCTCAAAAAGCCATGTATGGTGTTATACGAAAAATTAGACAATTTAATTTACCAGTAGATTGCCAGCTTGATTTGTTCGATAAAGTTGTCACACCAGTACTTTTGTATGGATGTGAGATATGGGGTTTTGAGAACATTGAAATAATTGAACGCGTTCATCTCAAATTTTTGAAATATAAAATATATTTTTAATCTGAAAAGTAGTACTCCTAGTTATATGGTTTATGGCGAAACGGGTCGATTCCCTTTGTATATAACGGTGTATATAAGAATGATATCACATTGGGCAAAATTACTGGTAAGCCCTGAAAATAAGATTGTTTATGTTACATATAAGAAATTATTTGAACAGTTTTGTTCAGGAAGTCATAAGAACCCTTGGATTTTATGTATTAAGAATATACTTAATACTTGTGGCTTCTCAAATATATGGAATGAACAGGCCTTTTTAAATATAAAATGGCTAAAAACTATAGTTGAACAACGTCTTAAAGATCAGGACATACAGAAATGGCAAAGTGATATGCGCGATTCGTCTAAAGGTCATATGCATAGTATCTTCAAAACAGAATTTGGATCTGAAAAATATTTAGACTTACTACCTAAAAAATTTAGAACAATTTTAATTAAATTAAGAACAGCAAATCATCGTCTCCCAGTTGAGACTGGGAGATGGTTTGGAATTCCCAAAAATGATAGACTCTGTAATATCTGTAATAATGGACAAATAGCTGATGAGTATCACTATATTTTAGAATGTCAATTTTTCTCAGAATGCAGAAAAAAGTATCTACCGGGTAAATATTGTAATATACCAAATTTCTACAAATTCTCAGAATTGTTGTCAACTGCTGACTCCAAGGTATTAATCAAACTATGCAGCTACATATATAGGGTTTATGAACAAGTCTGTCCTCCATAATTATTATTATTATTATTATTATTATTGTTACTTTATAATTTGAATGTATTTCTGCCATTTCACGTGTATCTTGTATATTGTTTTTGTATATATTGTACATAGAACCTCATGTACCATTAATTGGTTTGAGTGAATAAATTGAACTTGATGTCAAACAGAATATTAATAAATAAATGTTGACTATGTACAATTTCTTTCAAACAGTCAGTATATTTTCTTTTAATTATGAATCAAAGAATCAATTATCAGTCTAAATGGTAAATAATTTTAGATAATTATTGATTTTAAAAAAAATCACGTAGTCTATTACAAAAACATTAAACTATTTAAATTGCTAAAACTGTCATGTTCGACAGGCTTTGCGTCAGACATATTGTTTCTTGCTATGTATTTGTGAAGAACACGTAGGTATGAACATTCACTCAGTCGTTTTCAAAAAGCAAAGGAGAAAATGTCATTGTCAGATACTATATATGATGGCCATCGAAATGTAGATGTGAAAGATGTGAACAGGCAATGTATGGAGGGGATGTCGATCTCCAGGAATTAAAATCAGCAGAACCTTCGATGATATATATTTTGTTGGACAATTGGTATACTTACATTGATGAACTAGTGTATGAGCAGGAATTCAGTGACAAAAAAAAATTATGTATCCCACCTCTAGTGGTGTTACACATGTTGTTTATACTGAATCACCACAGACTGGGTGACACAGTCAGGGCAAAACAATCTCTACAGGATCTACAGACACTGCTGCTCCATGTGACGAAGCTTGTGTAAATAGTCACTATAGAGATATTTCATGGCAAATACTGGGAATCTGTCAACAAATCACTAGAGACTATTCGGGATCTCTGCAGTTTTATCAATGTTCTTTACAAGAAATAGTTTTTAACTTGATTCAAGATGCAGCATTTCTCAGAATGGACTCACTTCCAATCCAATAGATTGATTTTTTAAAAAAATTAACCAAAAGTACCACTTGTTTGTTGTTTGTATATCGAAATTCAGCAGAAATTGTGTAAGTGTCTATACATTTATTCTTTATATATTAGATTTCTTGTATTCAAGAGATAACTCTTTTTAAATATTTGTATGTCTGCTTATTTTATATATTTTATTACACTGTACCATTACCGTCATTGTACATGTTATATTACAAAGCATACAATATACATGATTTGTTGTAAGACCTATAAAATTTGTTTCATCATCCTATGTACATGTAACTTTCAAAGATGCATTATTGGGAAAATTATAAAGACTCTTTCAGGTATATGTATTGACTAGTACACGTATTTTTGACTGTCTTAAGGTAATATTTTGCAGAAAAAATATTGATATTAAAAACGTGATGTAAGTTTGCTTAGAGAGCTGTTGACTAATACGGAAATTCCGTATTTATCCAGAATTCTGTTTTAAAAAATGGATTACGTATTGACCTCCAAAATTACGCTTCTGTTCTATGCTCTAGATTTTAATTTTTTTGATGTCGTATTAATACTTTCGAAATGATAGGGATATATCTAAAACATTAATTCCACTGCCATGACACATGCTGACAAAACGGATATTAACGTAATAATAAACATTCTGATCTAAACGTTATCAAATATTCATTAGAAAATTCAAAACAATGTATTGCCAAAAATAAAATACGTACGAAAAGCTCAAATAAACCATTTATAGATTAATGAAAAATACAAAGTGGGGTAAACAGCTCTGTGCTTATAAAAGATTTGAAATAATATACCGGTAATATGAATATAAAGTGTAATTAATAAAGACTTTTGTCACCGTGACCTCTTCTGATTCAGCATGACATGAGTTTCTAAGATGCATCAACTTACAAGATTTGATTATCCTAGTCCTTTTTAATGGGCAAAATTTTTCTACATTAGAGAGTTATGGACCAAACAGAAATAATATGCTTTTTTCTACCAGTGACCTTGGCTTTGTTCAAATGACCTGATGTCGAGATCAAACACACCATGACATAAGCAGTCTTTGTAGTAGAAAGGAGCTTCCAGTTTCTGCATTAAAAGTTTTGGCCTAGATACAAGTTTCTTTTTTTTACTTTTCCTCTGCAAATGACCTTGAATTTGAACGAATGATCTTGTGTCAAGGTCAAGACACACCCTTAGGACATAATCTTTCCGTCAAGTTAGTGTATAAAGTTATATCCCAAATGATTGCACAGATAAAGACAGATGGGGTGATTCCTATTTACCCCTCAAACTTTGTGAATGACAAACAGCAGAATGTCACACATACTAAATGGAAACTTTTTTAAAACTGACAATTAGACACCAAAATAAATCAAGACAGTTATGAAATCTTATACATATATTTATTGTCATCACTTATAACACCTCAATACATAAGCATCGTGAATAAAAATCTTTGATATGCAGTTCATGTTGTCACATAGGGAGATATTAACAATAGTATACACAATGTGATTAAATGAAATGTAACACCCTGCAAGGATTGGGTGAAAATGAAACAGAATTCTGTATATAATACAATGATATAGGAGTTTATAAACAGAATCCAAGATATCGTGAAAGTAGTTATCTACCTTGATCTATTGAACTCACTACAAATTATATTTCTTATCCAATTTAATTAAAATATTCAAGAAAAATAATAAGATTTTTTGATAGCTATGATTGCTGTTTTACTTGTTGAAGTACCTTTAGCGTAAGTGGTTGATGATAATTATCAATCTTTAATGGTAGATGATTATAGATAATTAACAATTAATGGTGAGATAATTATCAGTCTAAATGGTGATAATTTTAGATAATTATTGATCAATGGTGAAATAATCATCAGTATAAATAGTATGTTGTACATGCTGTAGTTGACGTCACATATCTAGATACAATGTATATCTGGACTGATCAGCATAGTATATATAGTGTAGTATACATATTATAGTATACGTAGTGCAGTACATGTATATAATATAAAACAGTGTACATAGAAGTTAGCAGCATCCGCTGTGATAGAAATAAATACATACACAGAGTGTATTAATAAAACAGAAAATTACAGCCCACACACACAGACTTAGCACTGGTTATATAAAGACTAGCTTGTTAATCATTCGGTTTTTTACTGAAGCCATACAACAAAAATATAGAGGTTACAGATCACTTTCTATAATTAACATACATGTAAATTTATAAAAAAAAAAGATATCCATGCTTAATAGATTTCATTTTTCTTAGCAACAGCAAAAACAACAAACATACACAGAACAAACTGTTTTGCAGTCATTCAAAATCAAAATAGAGATTAGTTAACTTAAGTTTATATATTAATATTTATGTGTAAAATACATTATTGCAAACATTTTTATTCTATATAAAATATGGTGTGCTAGCTGACACAAAAATATTCATTTGTATAACAAAGCACAAGTAGTTGCAGTACATAACAAAGACATTACAAATCTATTATCAAAGTCATAGACAAAATCAAATCATTACAGTGTTGCATAATTTTCTGAATCTTTTATCACAAATTCTACGTAGAAAATAAAAAAATACGTATAACTGCAACTCAGGTTTTTTCCCCCAAATAACCACTTAACAGATCCTAACTTTGAGAAAAATAAATTGTTAATGATATTTATTGCTTAATAATCAAATCTTTGATAACTGTAAAACTATATTCATCTATTGCTCAATAAAATATCCTCAAGTAGAGAGATTATAAGCCTTACTCAGTTATTACATGAATCCATTTGTAAAATTCCACTCATTTGTAACATAATTCTTTAATGTCCGAGTCCTAATACAAACATCTTGCTACATTCTGACCAGTATCATTCTAATCTGCCTAAAAAGTAAACTCACTGCAAACCCCACTCCAATCAAACACTTTCCTAGCCACACCCCTCATCTTGGTCTCTGAAACTCTTCTCTCCATGACCTTTATAAGGTCAAATGGACGTGGAAGCCATAATGAAATCACAATACATAAGACAGGCACTATACAGTTTATGGTTAAAGCTGTTTTAGAACGCTGATGAGGAATCGCTATCATGGGGCGCATCTTTGTATCGCTGTTTTCTAAATTTGGCTAGCTTCTCTCTTGCTTCTATCCATTCTCTCTCTTTACGCAACATCTCCTCTTGAAATTGCAGTTCCTGAAAATTTTATATGGAAGAGAAAATGGTTATATATATAAAGATGGAGTCTAGACTCTGGGAAAGAAGACTGTAAAGTAAAAGATAAAGCATGCAGTCCATGACAGTTAACCAATCAAACAGTACTTGATGGTTAACCAATCAAACAGTCCATGACAGTTAACCAATCACACACCGTGTTACAGTTAACCAATCAAACAGCGTGATAACAAGATTCACTCTTCCTGTCTAATTTTTTTTTTAATGTCAAAACCCACTTGAATATCACATGAGATTTTTTACTTTGTTCCATGAAACATACTGCAAATATATTGAAAAAAATGTAGCAATTGTTTCCGAAATAAAACTAAAACAATATAAAGAGTGAATCCTGCTTGAACTGCCACACTGTTTGATTTATTGAGCTGCGGCCTTTTCTCGTTTTTCGGCCAGTTTCTCCTTCATTCTCCTGGCCTCATCTAACTGCTTCTCCAACAACAGAATCCTCTCCTGGGCCTCAATTTGCTAAAAATAGCAACAAATCATGGATGACTTTCTGACTATGGTGATTTACATGGAATGTTATTTACTTTCTTACTTGCAAACTGAAAATCTATTTAAAAAATATTTTTGCTGTTTCCAGAATTTTTTTTTACTGAAGACATTGTTTAATCAAATCATTATAGTTTATTACATTCTATAAACAGAAAGACCAGTAGTAAATGAAAGTCAGAAAGTTGATACCACAAAAAGGAACAAAAATTCCTGTCATTTGTTATCTTTTTCTTAACATCTGACAAAAATTAGTAGAGTTTCCTGAAATAAGAGAGATTTTCATGGGAATAAGGACTATGTATCAAGGTTGAACTGAAATAGAGAAGAAATCTGATAAAACAAGAAAACACTCAATGATCAAAGCTATCCTGTTCAGACAGGATCAAAGCCCTTAATAAATCCCCTCAGTTTTGTTTTCATTTAAAAAATTATATACATTTTGTTGTTATTGTTGTTTTTCCTCCTTTCTTTATTCTTTTTTTTAATTATTCTTTTTTGGGGGGAAGATGTTGAAATATTAAGGAAAAATTCACCCACATAGATATAAGCCATCTAGACTGGATAACTTGTAACCATAACATGTTTCAAGATTTGTTAAATTAATCTAAGGTTCACTGACCCTCTGAAATAAGAGAGATTGATGACCATTATTTCCTTTATAAAATTCTCCAGCTGAAAGACCATTTATGTAAAATTATACTCCTCAAAGTATGCTGAATTTGTATGGAATCAAAAAATAAATGAGATTTCTTTTGAAAATCCATAAGCCAGGAATTATTTTAGTGAAGAGAGGGGTGGTGAACCTAAGTTAATGAAAACAAGAGCATCACAGATAGCCTGTTTCTGTGATAAACCTCACACACTTTATCTCTCTACATATAAACTGTAAATAACATAATCAGAGAGAATACAAGGTCATTTTAAATATCTCAATTATCTAATTTATGAAGACTAAATTTCACTTTCAATAAAAACATTCAATGTATAGTTTACTTAAAATCTTATTCTGGTATAACAGTCATTTAAAATTTATGTTGCTGTATCATAAATGAACTTGAAAAAGTTTGTGTTATAATTAATCATTTAATGCAATTAAATATTTTAATACACAAAAAAAGTATTCTATATTTTCAGCATCCACTATAAAGCAGTATTAATTAACATACCTTTAGAATTTTAATGATATTAGTAAAATATATTAGATGATTTTTATGATGGTTTATAAATAGTTATTGGAGACATAAAATTTTAATTTGTTTGTACTGTACACTATACCAGTATGCATTATTTAATTGACTGTTAATTTATCAATATTTAAATTATACTTTTTAGTATATTAAACTATTTGTCTTTTCAAATTCCACAAAGAAGTAAAGAATCAATAAAGTTGATATGTGCTACATACATGTAAATATATTAATACATGTGTAATAAAAAATTCACCATCCAACTTGAAAAAAAAATTTCCACACATTCACTGGTAAATGAAACATATATTTATATTTTCTTTTCGTATTTTTTATTGCAATTTAAAAAAAAAAATTAAGTAAAATATATCTGCAATTTTTAAAAATTTCCTAAAAATTACACAGTTTATCTGGATCTTCCTTTACGGTTGCGTTTTAAGTTTCTCATCCAGAGTTGATAATGATTGTTTTCAGTTTGGACAGTTTGTAAATACATAAATGTTTACATGTATATTTATCTTAAGAAACATACAATAAATATAATGATATAACCCCATATACTTGTACTACAGACCAAAGGAGGTCAGATTGACTGGTATAATAGGTCACACTGACCTGTTTAATTCCTCCCACTTTACGGGAATCGACAGCGACGTCAATTTCTTCATCCTCGTCTCTCTGTTTGGCTTGTTGTGCAGCCTTAACCAGGACTTCTGTAGCTCGCTTCACGGCGTTACCAGCAGCCTGTAAAAAGGTACAAAAATAAAGGGTAAGTGTTAATCTGTCACAGTACTCTAATAACTCAACTAGAACTGAAAAACAGAGCTTGAGAAATTGCTTCCAAGAATTTATATGATTACAAGTTGAAATTTCCTTTTAAGGTCCATTAACCCTTTGATAAGAGAGATAACTCTGCCTGGTATTAATGACAATCATTCTGTTCAAAATTTGTCAAGATAAAGGTGTTTGCTGTCAAATTTTACACTCTTCACTATGTTTAAATGAATATTTAGATTTTCTTCACAAAATCATTTTAATTAATACAACTGAATTTGCAGAAAAATTATCAACAAAAAAAGTTTTTATCAAAAATATCCAACTTAACCCCTTGGTCCTTCCTTACCTGGAGTCTCTTCATGGCAACAGAGTTAGGGTCAGCCTTGACCCGACAGGCCACTAACAGATGGGCCGTTGACCCTGCGACCTCCTTAGCTGAGGCAATCAACCTCTCCTCCGTAGCATGACCCTGTACCATGGCGTTGGCAGATTCACACAAACTATGTGTGGCTGCTGCTACCAGTTTAGCCTGTTTTAGGAATTTATAGTGTCTTACAACAGAAAACTTTTACTGTGTTCAAGTCTTAAAATTTCATTTTGATTAACTTATACAGAATAAGAATCAAGATATATATGTTGTAAATTCCTACAAGATGACCAAATATGTGTTCCCTAGTTTTATGTGAACTCGATTTTTTTCCCAATTATTTAAATCACAAATGCATACATTAAATTGGACAGTTTTACATTCAATGGTACTGGATCTTGTATGCCCATGATAAAACTTTAATTTACTTTTGAGAGCATTACCCCTGTGAGATAGAGTGACTAGTTGTATAGTGTTATACAGTGACAGTGACATGTTATACTCACAGCTGATATGAGTCCCTCTGACCACTGGCCATCGTCGTCCAGTATCTGTGACTTATGGTACGTAGCACCAATCTGTAGACACAGAAGACAAACACAGTATTTAGCACATTTTATCCACTACAAAATTTAAAATTACTGTCAGTAGTTTCATTTTCACAGGGTGTCAAATTTTGTGTTTTGGCAAAGAGTACCATTCCATTGAAACGTTAATTTGTTGACAGAATCTTTTTTTTATTTTAGCATGAGTTTCAGTACTTTGTGGCTCAAACACAAAACATCAAAATATCAGCGTTAAACAAATGATGAAAACACAGCACATATACCTGGGAGGCATTTTCCTCATCTATTCAAACCAACAACTTGTACATGATAATTCCTTAGTAACTTAAAATAATAGGAAACAATATTTCTTAAACCTTTAATAATTCATAAATTCCTGTAAAAATCCCCTTATTATAATTTAGTCATCAGTATTTTTCTTTTGGGGGGGGGGGGGGGGGGGGGGGATTAGATGCTAGAGTTTTCGAAGAGATTATGTTGTGTAATTTGATAATATGTATACATCAATTACCAGTTACATGGTTTATTTGTTTAAGTACAGTGGCTATATGTATATATATATATTGTACACCATCACCAGAAAAGAAATCAATAACTATATTCAAATTGTTATTAATTTAGATAACAGTATTGTGTGTTATACTGAGAACTAAGCCAAGTGATCAATAGTAAAATACCCAAGATTTTTTTTTGTAATACATGTTTTGATATATTAATATTATACTTCTGAATCAGTAATCACTTCCATATTTCACTGTATGTGACAGAATTAAATACTGTATTACATATAATATAATGTCCTTCATTTCTGTTTTTACCTTTTTTAACTCTTTCAAAATCTGTGAATTCAACTTATCCATAAATCCTTCATCAATTTTTGAAGATCATAATTTTTTTTGGACAAATTCTAAACATTGTTATAAAAATTGTTTCATTTAATTACAATTTCTTTTAAACTTTGATGATAAACCCTTCAAACTGTAATCACTAAATTAACAAAATATTATATTATCATGATTATGAACCTTCAAGATAAGATCAATATGACAAATAGCTAAATTAACCTCTTAAAAAAATACTAACTAAAAGATAAACATTGCAAAAAAATGTCATAAGCTCTTTGGGGTAAAAACACTGCAACTATTTCAAATGTGAATGACGTAACAATTCTATCATGACCAATACCCCCCCCCCCCCCCAATAAATAAATAAAAAGGAAACTAGACGAAAATGGAAATTTTTGACTTATGTTCATCAAATCAATTATATACACATGTACCTGATTTACAACTATTCAAAAAAAAAAAAAAAAAAAGAGTCACACAAGGAAGTGATTATTTTATCTTCAAGCAAAACTGGGTTAAAATAAAACCAGAGATGGGGAATTAAACATGTCCACTAATCAAAGTCCTTTGGCTGAGAAAAATTATCTTTTGTTTTGAATAAAAGATTAAACAACTTTTTCAAAATAATTATGTTATTAATACGCCTCAAATGTGCTTAATCTATAGCTGGCATTTATAGTTCTGAACATATTAACAAATAGAAGCAATCATTAATTCTGCATGTTCAGTTAGAATGAATTAACTGTGTTATATAGAGATATTCAGGACACCAGCCCCACCAAACCCCCACCCCACCTTAAACTTGCATGAATGAAGCAGGAAAAGGTAACTCTTCAACACATGCTGAAAAATCATCATTTTCTTCTCTCTCACTCCCCAATGGTCACTCGGATAGAATTATCAATTTTGTTATCAAAAACATTGTCATCCTTCTTTTTTTTTCAATTTTACTCTTGAAATAATTACTTGGGGAAAAATGTTCCTTAATACAAATGATGATTTTACAGTAGGCAAAAACCACTTCAACCGAAATTATATTTTTAGAGGTCAACCCAATTCTTAAAATGAAAAAAAAAAAATATGTAAAATTAGAGATTTCTTGTGAAAAATAAATAAATAAATAAAAAAGAATATATTTGAATAACATATAGGTGTCAATGCAGAAGCTTTGTGTTGCTATGACAACAAGATTTACCTCTCGTCGCGTGCGAACCTGAAATGTTAGAAGAGCATGCAAGAACAATGAACAGACAGAGGAAACAATGCAACAGTTCATCATTAGAAACACACAAGGTCATTAACAGATCCATCATTAATTACAAGCAAGGTCTGATATATAACAATGTATGACTGGCAGCCTTTAAAGGTCTACAGATTTCTTTATATCCTCACAAGGACATGCCTTGACAAAAATAATTTAGTTTGGATGCCACAGACCTATCTACTGAGATTGCCATGCATTCTATCTATCAAAGGCTTACTTCTTTTTCTTTGCTAAGAATGTACAATTAAAGCCGATAGATTTTTTGTTCAAAGCATTAAGTAGGCTAGAAGACAAATTTTTTAGGCAATTTTCATTTTGAGTTGAACATGCTTTGTTATTTTTAGAAATAGAGGAGTAACATCTTCTACATAAGTCTCAAAATACATCTAAACACAAATGATATTTTTTTATCTCATTCTTTAATTAGTAACAACAAATTATTCAAACATATATCATCAATTAGCTACAGTACAATCCAAAATATTTATCTAACCTGTGCCTCTATCTTATCTACAGTACAGTCCAAAATGGAATTACAGTATTAGTCATACCTTTCCTTGAGCCACGAGCTCTCGCTGGGCAGCTGATGCTGATTTCACTAAAGCCGCAGTGGCAGAAGCAATGGATTTGGCTGCCTCTAAAATTTGTTCCTCAAAGTTCAAGCTCATGTCAGCTTCCTGTGTAAAAAGTTTTAACAGCTTCATTAAACCATTTTAGTTGGTTGATAAAAACCAAATTGTGCTATCTTGTGTATTTTAATTCAATTATGAAACAATACTTCTAGAAGAGAAATGAAATCTAAGATTGAAAAAAATTTCCCCCCCAAACAAGGAAGAACAAACAAATGAACAAATAACAAAGATGTTCAGAATGAAATTGAAGGACTACAGTTTGTCTTCCACAGCTCACTCTTTCATGGTACATACCCAGCTGATTAAAATATGCCTACAGGGTTAGACAAACATTTTATCTTCTAATTGAAAGGAATTGTGACCACTGTCCATGGAATAAAACTAACATATCCATCAATGCCTTCCCAAATTTAAAGTTTCTGCTACCACAGAAGAAAAGGAAATCCCACGATACAATGATCAACTTTGTCCTTGATCTGCAGAGGAGCAAGCTTTAGTGTTGACATGTCTGATATTTGGTGGGAATCTAAAATCACTCACCAAATATATCAAACATATCTCACCACAGCTTACAAAATCACTCACCATATCTCACTACAGCTTACAAGATCACCAAATATATCAAACATATCTCACTACAGCTTACAAGATCACCAAATATATCAAACACATCTCACCACAGCTTACAAGATCACCAAATATATCAAACATATCTCACTACAGCTTACAAGTTCACCAAATATATCAAACATATCTCACTACAGCTTACAAGATCACCAAATATATCAAACATATCTCACCACAGCTTACAAGATCACCAAATATATCAAACATATCTCACTACAGCTTACAAAATCACAATATATTTCACATGTATTTCACCAAAGCCTACCAAATCACTTAGTGCATCCTACTCAATCACCAAATATATCAAACATTTCTCACCACAGCATACTAAATCACCAAATAAATCAAACATTTCTCACCATAGCATACTAAATCACCAAATAAATCAAACATTTCTCACCATAGCATTCTAAATCACCAAATATGTCAAACATTTCTCACCATACCATACTAAATCACCAAATATGTCAAACATTTTCTCACCATAGCATATTTAGTCACCAAATATGTCTGATATCTTTCATTGTTTTGTTTTTTTAAACACCAGATATTTGAACATTTTGTACCAAAGCCAACAAAATAACCATGTTACTCAAAGTAATTTATTATATATTATTCATTCAGACTAAATATGTAAACCACTTTTTATAAAACCGTACCAAATCACCGAATCAAATCTACATAGCTGCATTATAGTGTATCACCAAATATGAAAAACCTGTAGAACTTGTCCCACCAGAGCCCATTTATATCAACCAAGTCTCACTTTAACTTACTAAATCACCATATAATCAAACATAGCTTAACCAAGCTTACTAAGTCAGAAAAACAGTACTCCACTATATAACTCAATAGCCATGAACAATTCTGCATACATACTTAGTTTACAGGTTATAAAACATTAACTACAAAACACTGAATGTGACCAATGCTACAACTGTTATAAAATAATTCAATTTTTCTTTCTAATTCAAATACATTTCAGACTTGGGACCTCGTTATACCTCTAATACTCCATTTATAATTTATTTCATCTTTTCTTGCAAATTTTTCTTTGAACCCATAATTTTTTCATAATAATAAATCACCAACATAGTCTTTTTGTGAAAATCTCTACTTTGCCATTTTGTATGTATACATTGTGGGATTTAAGATTTTTCCGACTTTAACCTTTTTGCATGATTTGAGTTGTAAAATATTTGAGATGTGTACCATCTTTGCCTTTTTTTGCAGGGTTTAAGCTGTGCGTTTTTTGAGGTATGCCATACCTTTGCTATTTTGCATGGTTTGAGTTGTGAGATATTTGAGATATGTCTTACCTTTGCCTTTTTGTGTGGATTGAGTAGTGAGATATTTGAGCTGTGTCTTACCCTTGTCTTTTTGGGGGTGGATTGAGTTGTGAGATATTTGAGATGTGGCTTCAATTTGCATGGTTTCAGTTGTAAAATATATGTGATATGTCATACCTTTGCTTTACTGGCATGGTTTGATTTGTGAGATGTTTTGAGATATGTCCAATCATTGTTTTTTTTTTGCATGGTTTGAGATATGTGGCATTTTAAGATATGTCCCATCTTTGACTTATTTGCATGGTTTGCAGATGTGAGATTTATATGTCTAACCTCTACCATTTTTGCAGGGTTTAAGCTGTGTGGGTTTTTTTTATGTATGCCTTACTCTTGCTTTTTGCATGGTTTGAGTTGTGAGAAATTGAGACATGTCTTACTTTTTCCTTTTTGCATGGTTTTGAGTTGTGAGATATTTGAGATATGTCTTACCTTTGCCTTTTTGCGTGGTTTGAGTTGTGAGAGTTTCTGTGCTGCAGCCTCTATAGATTTGGCTGCTGTCAGTAGCTCACTTTCTGCTATCACTGTAGGGTCTTCAGGATCAACCCAATCTGTACCTAATAAAATACAGTGACATAATCAAAGGCATGAAAGTACTGATAGTACCAAAATCAAAGTCCTGTGAATAGAAGGAAGTAATATGAATTATATAAAGTGTGAATAAATGCTTGATAAAAATAAATTCACTATAAAGTGATAATGAAGTGAAAATTATGAATTTTGATGAGGAAATGTTGCAAATTTCTTATTATAAAAATCATATTTCACAGGCATCTATTTTTATCTTGTAACAGTATTTTTTTTATCATATCAAAAATACCTAAGTAAGTAATATGTAGGAAAATTTATGATAAAAATTTATCTTTAAAGTAAGACAAGGTTATATTTATAATATGCTGGTCATTGAATTTACTGTAAAACATTCATAACTAATCAGGATACAGCGTAATCAAAACATGCAAAGAAAAGGAAACTTAATACAAATAAGCAAACATATATCATATTCTGTAATAACATTTCAAAAATAAAAATAAAACTCATGCTTCAAATATCTGTCACTGCATCTTAAACGTCTCAATAATGTTTCTACGCTATCTGAGGAAAATATACATAGCGGAATTTGTAGTCAAGAGAAAATAAAAACTGATCAAAAGTGGATAATGGAATAAAGTCTGGATTGGGTAGTATATAATTTGGGTTCTATTATATGGGGTGTGGACAATAATAAATGAGGAATGAACATGAATAATGATATGGTTGTGAAAAGAAATCTTAGCATGAAAACTTGAGTGATATGACATTCATGTGAACTTTTATTCATTACATGTATTACACTGATCCCCAGCATGTTTTAGATTTTTGGTAGAAAATGTTTACATAACAATAATTCTTCTTTACAAAATACCAATTAATGCATCTGTAATACTGATAGTTTTTCTTCTAATTTTGAAGCCTGGCATTCACATAATAAAGGGCAATATCTTTTGACCCTCTAACAACATTTATGGACACTGTAGGCTGTATACTAACTGAACACAATCATTGATAAGCTTATGCAATGATACACATATTCCTAACATGTGGAGATGGTCTATAACATTCAGTTAAATTCTACTGGAAAATTGAAGCTTATTCTTGAGTTGTTTGGGTTTTGCTAGTTTTCCTAGCCAGTAAAGGTAATTATTTTTAAGTTCTCTTCAATGATAAAAAATCCTTCAGGAAACAGGCAAAATCCAATGAATAGATTACATTATCTCCACATGTTGTTTAGGTCTGATTAGAATGGGCATGCGAGTATTACCTATATGTTGTCAAATATCATTTGTAACATTATAAACTGTCCCTGTTCAGTGTCACATAAAGATTAGACAACTTTAAGGTCAGATGTCAAGGTGAGACAACTTTAAGGTCGGATGTCAGGTTTAGGGAACTTTAAGGTCAGATGTCAGGGTCATACAACTTTAAGGTTAGATGTCAGGGTCAGACAACTTTAAGGTTAGATGTCAGGGTCAGACAACTTTAAGATCGAATGTCAGGGTCAGACAACTTTAAGGTCGAATGTCAGGGTCAGACAACTTTAAGGTCGGATGTCAGGGTCAATATTATGATGTCAGGAACACAGGTATTAATTCTATCCAGGATATTAATTGTGTAATGTCTGGGTCCTAAGTTTGGATTTGGACTCAAATCAATGCTGCAATAACAAATATGACTATATTTTACAACCAAAAAATCCAATGTAAAGAAAAAAATTCTTTGTCACTTGTATACAAGTATTTTGTTACGTACTTTAAAATTCATTAATTTTGAAGGGTAAAAAATTTTCAGTTTGAGAAATAAAAATGTTCAAAGGGGAGGGGGTGTCTCTTGATACCACAAAAACAACGCAGAGCCAAATTCACCCTCCTACAAAAATTAGTGAATTAAAGTACACATTCTTTATTCCTAAATATAGCCATGACAGATTTGTTATTGCAGCATCTATATACTCCTATCCTACAATGAAAGCATTCTCTTGATCAGCGGTTGCCCTGGTTACCTGATACAATATGGGACCAGCGGATTTCTTTGGATGCTGATTAAAAGACAAAGTTTTATCAGTTTCATAACGATGAAGAGTTTCCTCCCCTTAAAGGGACCAAAAATGGACAATGCAGAACGTTCAGCATGCATACGAGACAAGACATCCAAGGTATATATGTACATATTCCATTTACATGTAAACAAGATCTCTTTGGATTCCCTTACTATCACTTTAACAAGTGCAGCATGATTAACTTCTCGAGTATAAATTCTTCCTTTACATAATCATTCAACAAAAAGCACTTATGTGTATTATATCATAATTATGCACTATCTTATTCTTTCCACATAACCTCATCATATCTGTGTACTAGGGATCAAAAATAAACTGAATACACTAGATATATACTAAATCCTCCTCAAATATGCCAGTTAATATTCTCCTCTCATAACAACATTCTTCAATATATATATCAATTATCTGGTTTCAATGACCAGTATCTTGATTTTCATTTCTTGCTTCCATATGGCATTTCCTTTCATTATTACTCCTGATAAACAAGACATCAGACAGATTAACACCAAAATAAAATAAAGCAAGACACGACACACTGTCTACACACCTCCATCTGGTGCTAACTGGCCCACTAAAAACAAGAAGGTATGTATGTCAACCAGTGATAAATTGCCCAAAATCTAATTAGTTTAAAACATCCCCTCCCCCTTCCTCTGTCTCCAAGTTATTTTATTTTTTTTAAGGAAATTTTTCCCTCTTGTTGTACTAGTTGTAAAACTGTTTAGATTTCAACAACACCTGTTCTATACTTGCTTAATGATTAACACCTGTTCTATACCTGCTTAATGATTAGCAAAGATTCAATAACCTTTAATAGTGTCGAGCCTACCTGAAATTTTCTTATCAGAACCCTCGAGTCAAAAATAATGACCCAATAATTTTGTCCAGTAAATATTCCAATACTACGTACTTAAGAATACAATTCACACATATTTATTATAATACAGAGTATAGATATGCCATACCCCAGCAGATTATGTTATATTGAATGCAAATGCTTTTGCTATGATAATGGTACAGGTCTATAATTTACATATTTACGACTACACATCACATCCCCATAGCTGTAACAGGAAGTAAGGAGTTACCTACCTTTGATGAGTTCTGCACAATGAACTACTTCCTGTACAGATGTCGCCACTTGTCTGGACAGTGCAGCCAGAGTCTGCTTGGACTCTTGAGAAGGTTTTTGAACCACCTTAAAAAAACATTTCCAAATCAGTAAAACAGTTCTAGTCACAAATAACCATAAAAATGAAATCTGAACAATTTTCTTTTTGTTACCCGGTAACCACTCACAATGGTAAAGCACAACTGTGTTGTACAAGTGACTTCACCATTTAGTTTTACATTTCTGTTTTATAATCTGAGAATGCTTCCATCATCACACTACTTTGTTATATTTGTAGTGTTACTTTCTGTGTCATACTTACCACACTGACTTGTTCTAGCAGGTCCTTGTACACCAAAGCACAGCTTTTACCGGCCTTTATTGTCTTGTATAAGTGTTATAATTGAGACAGATTTTCTGTGTTATACATACCACACTGACTTGTTCCAGTAGATCCTTGTACACCACAGCACAGCTCTTAACAGCCTGTATTGTTTTATATCAGTGTTATAATTGAGACAGATTTTCTGTGTTATACATACCACACTGACTTGTTCCAGTAGATCTTTGTACACAAAGCAGAGCTCTTAACGGCCCGTATTGTTTTATATCAGTGTTACAATTGAGACAGATTTTCTTTGTTTTACTTACCACACTGACTTGTTCCAGCAGGTCTTTGTACACCACAGCACAGCTTTTACCGGCCTTTATTGTTTTGTATAAGTGTTATAATTGAGACAGATTTTCTTTGTTTTACTTACCACACTGACTTGTTCCAGTAGATCCTTGTACACCACAGCACAGCTCTTACCAGCCTGTATCGTCTTCTGTCTAACTTCTGTTGTCTCAGCGGTGCTGGCTGTTCCCTGGTTAAAACAAAAAGCAGACTACTGTCAAACAAAATCCCTATTTGTGATAATAAATTTAAACTCAAGACTTAACCTTACCATATACTTCTCACCAAAACATTAAGCCTAAAGTTTATGTTTTAAAACTGCTCAATGACCTTTGACTTCTTCTTTACTTTACTTTAGCTACCTTAGTTTTAACTAATACACTTTTTTCTCCAAACATCATGCCCAAAGCTTATCTTTTAGAACTGTCATGCTCGATTACCTCTGACCTCTTCATTTTAAAATAATTTGACATTCAATTTTTCAACCCTAAAAATACATTTATTTAAGCTTTGACCACTTTTTCATACCCTGCATGTAGCCAAGAGATCAAAAATGGCTTTGCGTCCCATATTTGCGCAGATAATGACGTCCTCCTGTCTGGCGGAGTTCCCAGCCGCCACTGCTTTGGCTGTTGCCGTGGTGATAGGTTTGGTCAGACGGATCAGATCTTCTGCTGTTGCCTTCTTTTCTGGTAGAGTTCCAGCTTCATAAGACTATCAAAGAAAACATAACGATTATTTAAATAGAAAATTACTTTTTCTACCATTATATATTGTATAAACTCTATTGGTTACACTATAGGAAATTTCAAGGGTTAATGATATCTTGATCTCATTAAGTTCTTGAACAATATCTAGTCATTATAAACATAACAATAACCTTAATCTCCTGCCCTATGGCCTCGATGGTGGACTCTAATGCCCTTGTTCCACGTGCAGCTTCATCTTCAACGGTTTTAACCGTCTTCAGTAATGATGTTACATTTGTTACCATAACCTTAAGGAAATCACAAAATTAAATGTTTAATACCTCAATCTGGAATCAATTTAATAATGTGATGCACACATCTATAACAATACTTACCTTAAACATCAATAGATTTGTCACCATCCTTCAACTTACAAAGTATCATTACATATGATTCAGATCAATTTTGAATTTGAATTTAAAATCACTCTAGAGAACACACGCCTAAAATAATGCTGGTATTTTCCTCTGAACTTTCATTGTTAAAATGAAAATAACTCCTTGATGAGGTAAATATTTTTTAATCAACACAGACATGTTAAGCAAAATAACATAGCAAAATGATATGTCATAATCTCCAGTTCCAAGCCTCTATGTCTAACATTAAGTCATGATAAGAAAACACAACATAAATAGCACCCTTGAATCCTACCCCTGTATCCTACCCCTGTTATGTATGGTAAATAATCTATCCCTCAGTAATCTATTCTTTATTTGTATCTGTCATTCTTGATTTCATAAAACAGTGTAAGAAATGGGATAAAATCACTATAATCAATTTTACAGTTGTATGCACAAGAAGTCATTTAACTAACTCTGGGGAATAAGGCACTATTGAATTACTTAGTAAAATTCAGGAAGAATTATTGCTGAATATACTCCATATGGTTGATGAACAAAACAAACATTAGGCTGCACACAGCTGTTCAGCATGAGAGAAGAAGCATAGTTATACTGATCAAATGCTGCAACTCTATACTCCAGAATAGATCCATCTCATGCACTGTAAAGTCTTTACTTTGCTTCTCAGTGACTTAACATATTAATAACTTTGACATCAAGTTTATTATTATAATTTTTTTTTTTTGATCTGACCTTTTCTTTTTCATCAAAAAATTTTTTGAGAAGCAAAATGTTTTTTTAAATTCTATCAGCTCATATGCTTGCAAATACTATCAACTCATATGCTTGCAATTTCTTGCCATTTCAATTCAAATAATTCAAAACTAGATTTTTACATCTCTTTTTTTTTAGTTCTGATATTTAAATACTGATAAGAATGACAACTAAATAGATTACTAATTTGGATATGTAATTTTGATATGAGCTGAAAAACCTCTATCATAATTATAAGTCAAACTGTTACAATAAGTAAACATGTTATATTATTCTAATTTCCTCCAATTTCTTCATTCTTTTTCATAGATTCACTATATACTTGTACCATCAATGACTTAAAAAAAATTAGAGGAAATTAAAATAATAGTGTGGTTGTAGTTGTTTTTAAAAGCATTCTTTCGGGAATGAGACAGTTTCTATGGAAACACCATTTCCAATGCAACCCATTTCTTTGTAGCCCAAACTTCTAAGGGTAAAACTTATACATAAAGACTGATTAATCACAACATTCAATATAAATATTGTATGTCCATTATCATTTTAAAAGTCAACAACACTGGAACAAAATCATCCAATGAGGAGGCCCGAAATTTTAACTGCACTCAGTACATGCTTGAAACATATATAGTATACCCATCCGGCAAATTCTCAATAACTGAGTCTGTCTTCTGTAAAAAGTCAACAGGGCTAATATCAAAACTTTATCAATAAAAAATATCTTTAATCTACCATTATCTTTGCCTGGAGTTTGAAACTTTACACTTTGTTGACAATAATAATGAAAGCAGACTTTATAATGGGGATCAAAATGATATATGCACCTCTGACAGTAAAATCTATGCCTACAGAAGATTGCTAGAAAAGGTTTTTCCATAGAATTAAAGAGTATTATACCACACAACACTCACAACACTAAGTTATAATGGTGTCAATTTCTAATTTTCAATGTGAAAAATTATTTAAATTATTTATTTATTCCTCCCGTTTTAATAAGAAGTGTGACTAACCTACAAAACATACCTCTACCCTCAGCTCTGATTATACTTTTCCTCCTTTTTATGCAAAAAGCAAATGAAAATCTGAGAAGAAGACTGTATACAAGGGGACCTTGATATACTACTGACCTTGGCAGACTCTTTAAGTGTCAGCATTGCCGGATCGGATACATTTTTCCCAGAGGCATTCTTTGTTGCACTGATCAGATCCGAAAGAGCAGAGGCCACATCCTTCACTGCGTTAATTATCATCACCTGAAATTTACAGCAGTTTTTAAGGAGAAGTAATTTTAATACACATTCTTTTCAATACCTTATTTACTTGGTCTCTGGTTATACTGACCTGAGCCTCTGGTTATATTGACCTGAGCCTCTGGTTGTATTGACCTGAGCCTCTGGTTATATTGACCTGAGCCTCTGGTTATACTGACCTGAGCCTCTGGTTATATTGACCTGAGCCTCTGGTTATACTGACCTGAGCCTCTGGTTATATTGACCTGAGCCTCTGGTTGTATTTACCTGAGCCTCTGGTTGATCAGACCCCAGTGAGGCGGCACCGAGTTTGACCACATCTGCGAGTTTTGTGATTGTTTTGACGGCCTGTTGTGCGGCCCCAGCGAGTGTCTCCTGGTCCGAGGCTGCCCCCTGTACCAGTTTCTTTGTCTCCTCCACTAAGGCTTTAGCTGTTTTTAGGATGTCCTCTCTGTAAAGAAATTCATATGAATTTATGTCAACTAAAATATAGGATTCTAGTACATAATCTTAATAAAATTTGTGATCAGTTACAAGACAAATTTTAAACAAAACATTGTCATGTTAATTTTGTCTTCAACAACACAGATATATACATACAAACATTTTAGCATAAATACATTAAAGCTTAACTCTTAAAAAAAATTGCATAAAGGTAAATTCACAGCCAAATAGAGGCAGTTCCCCCTCCAGAATTAGGTCATTTTCCCAAAATTTACTGTATTTTCCCAATTGTTTTTAAGACTTCAATGAAAAATTCTTCCCAAAATGGAAGAAAATGGCTGCATTTAAAATATGAGTAAAAACCACTAAATCAAAACAAATAACTTACCTGTGGCTGGCAAAGCTGTCATCTCCCTCAGTACTCAGTGTCCCGGCGGTGGCGAACATGATAGTGGTGTCTAAATCAGCAATGATACCACTAACGGCACTGGCAGCATTAATACAGGCCTGGGTACCACGTGACCCTGACTGGAGGGCCGCCAACACAAACGAGACCTTCTCACTAACACTGCGTGCGTGGTCCTGGAGGTCCCTGCGAGCAAATGTGTCGTGAGGGTCACCCTGAACCTTCCCAGCATCCTGTACCAACTCCACACAGCTCTTACCCAGGTCCTGGACTGTCGTACGGATACGATTGGCAATCTAATAGAACAGAAATTAATGACTATTATTAAATGAGCACTGCATTTACTATTGTAAAACATGAAAAAAATTCTGTTATCAGTTTTTTCCTTAAGTTGTTTTACTACAGAACATAACATAGCTCTTAAAACTACAAGTAAAACATTTCCTTTGATGGTAATTTTTTTCTCATAAACTTCAATAAATTATTGTGAAGCTTCCATAGTTTTCTCCAACAAAGAGGCTACAGATCAAGAAGTCAAATCTCTTGTCTCTTACATCTTGACCACTAGCAGTGGCTGCAGCATTTGCCGAGTTGCTGGCCAGAATATCATAGTCTCGGGTCAGCTGATTGGCCAGTCTGCCCAGGTCAGCAGGGTTGACACCAGCCTTGCCGACCATTTCCTGGGTTGTCATGGCAATCTTTTTAGCGAGGCTGACCATGTTGGACTGGTACTCCACAAATGACATACCCTCTCTCACCATCACTTGTTCATCTGTCTGTAAACCACAAATTTACAAGATTGAATTTAGAACATTTCATATATAGTGCAAAATATGCTTCCAGTAGGGGTCTTTATATCATTCTGTTGAACAATTAAAATTCTTTAAAAATTTGACATTTTTTTCATCCTGGCTTCGGTCAGTTTGTGCCTACCTTTGTTATGGACTTGGTCAGTTTGTACCTACCTTTGTTATGGACTTGGTCAGTTTGTGCCTACCTTTGTTATGGACTTGGCCAGTTTGTCCTTACCTTTGATATGGACTTGGACAGTTTGTGCCTACCTTTGTTATGGACTTGGTCAGTTTCTCTATCATGCTGTTGACCATGCCGGCCTGGGAGGCTGCCTCCTCCAGTGATTGTAGCAGATCTTGGACAACATCCATTGTGTTCTCAGCAGCAGTGTCAATGTTATCATGGGTGTGCTTAGGAGCCTATAAAGTACAATGGAAATAATTCTTAGAAACACAGTTTAATTCTCAATGTCTTCAATTCATAGGCCTGAAAAGTAAGACTTGAAAAAGATGTCTAAATTCTTATGTCTCATGTCTTCCCATATATTTATATTGAGATACCCCCCTCCCTTTTTCCTGACAAAGTAGTGTTGATAAGTCTTCCTTCGTGTTATCTCCCCTTTCTTTACAAGAGGTCATGAATGGAAGTGCTCCCTTTGATTACACCCCCCTCCCGAGTGTGGTTGTGATCATTTTACTTGGATTACCTATGCTTTTTCTTTACAGAATTCACATTGAAGGGCACCCTTTGGTTAAAACAACCCCCCTCCCCTTGAGTGGTTTGAATATCCTACCTTAGGGTTACCTCCCCCTTCTTTACACGAGTACATGAATTGTAAAGCTGACTCGGCCACAGTCTTGGTCAGGTCCAGGATGTGTGTCTGTTGTTTAGAGTTCTGGATCAGAGAAGCAGCACCAACAGCCCCGTCTGACAGAGGACCAAAGTAACTGGCCATCATAGTCACCTGAAATCACACCATACAATTAACAAAGTAACTGGCCAGACAATTAATCTTTTATACCAAAGTCAGAAAATTGAACATACAATGGCATACATTCAAACGGTACTAATTATACATTTCCTTTATTTATTATTACATACCCTGTGACCCAGATTTTCTGGTTCAGCTTTAGCTGAGTCCTTGACCTTTGTACAAAGGTCATGGATTTCTCTGGCACTTCCAATCATCTGTTCTTGGAAGCCCTATAATAAATTATCAGATCACATTAATGTATGTCTCAATCCAAAAAATATAATGTATTCTCCACTGGCTTATGCAATGCTATCAACCAAAATATGCTACTTTCTTTTATTTTTCCATCATTTTCTGTACTATAAAACTTAATTAACAAAGCTTGCTTTTGGATTTTTTTTTTAATAATACTGGAAAAAACATATCTGTATTCTGAATTTTCTGCAACACATTTATGTACAATAAATCACAAAATCCCCAACCCCCTCCCTAACCAAGTGATTTGGAGTGACTAACACTGAGGGATTTCTCTGTCCTCTGTTGTAGGCTCTGACTGATGGCAGTCAGTGACACCTTGTCAAGATCCCTGATTGCACCCCCCTCCCCCCATGACTAGATAATACTGACCCTGAGGGATTTCTCTGTCCTCTGTTGTAGGCTCTGACTGATAGCGGCCAGTGACACCTTGTCAAGATCCCTGATTGCACCCCCCTCCCCCCATGACTAGATAATACTGACCCTGAGGGATTTCTCTGTCCTCTGTTGTAGGCTCTGACTGATAGCAGCCAGCGATGCCTGGTCAAGATCTCGGATTGACCGGTTCAGTTTCTCTATTGACTCGTCACATTCTCTCTGTCCAGGAGCACAGTCCCTGAGAAAATACAATTCAATTATCTAATGACATTTCCACATAATAATTATCTATCATTTCTTCAATTAGCATCTTTATCATAAATACAACAAAACTTAACAATGCAAATTATTTTCACAATATACATTGCAGTTACACATGCTCAAATCAATTGTCAGGATTTGTTATGAATGTAAATCGTAATATTCATTAAGTTCTCAATAGAATTTAAAATTACAGGGAATGAAAATCCCTTTGCTGTAAGTGTGAATTTATTATCAGTATATATGCTGTAGCTGAGCTTCACTCCATACAGCATAGAACAATTTTTCCCCCACATATTCTCCTGGTGTTTTGGCTTAACAACAGCAATATCTGTTGTACTTACTTGATGGAGGACACAAGTCATTTGATGTTCTCAGACACACTCTTGGAGTGATTAGAGTCCATCTGGTGGATATACTTACTTGATGGAGGACACCAGTCGTTTGATTGCCTCAGACACACTCTTTGAGTGGTTAGAGTACAGCTGGTAGGTGGGAGGGTCTTTAGGGTTCACGGCCAGTTGTTTGGCTGCTGTCACCATGTTACAGGCTCCATCTATCATGGCTTTTCCTGCAGCAATTATGGGCTCCTGGGCTTTTCTGGCCTGAAGAATAAAGTGAATACATAAAATGGATATTTGTAAACTGATAGATAATTCCCAACCTCCTAAATTATCAAACTGGTTGAAAAATTTGGTTAAGGAAGATATCTTATACCCTTCAGTAGTTTAAACAACTTAGACATTCTCTCTAGTAAACTTTAACTCTTTTTCAATGGTTGAAGGCAGGTTGACATAAACATTAGTTTAGGCCTATTTACCTGAGGACTTATCTTGGCTGGCATGCTGGCGAATTCAGGGGATGAAGCAAAGGTGGTGAGTTCATCCACGGCGTCAGTCAGTGGTTTCGCGGCTTCTGCACACTTCTGGCGGTTTTCTTCTGTGAAATCCTGATCTAAGGCCTGGATTAAAGTTACTTAATCTGAGTTACTAATTCTCTTCTTCCACATCATCTTTCTGCTCAGTTCCTGATTTTAGGCCACATTTATGTTACATTTAATTATTAACTGGGTTTTTCTCAAACTTGAATTCCATAAATTTTTTAATTTTCAAGAGATATGATGCTTGTACTTTTAATTTTCAACATAACGGGATGTTTCCCTCTGGTCATAAATTAAAACCAATAAACACCACTGAGAGTAAATGACCCCTAACACATACCTTAATGGCCTTCACCAGGTTGGCCGTGCTGTTAGCGACATCCTTGGCACTCTGGACAAAGTGTCGCTTAGCGACAGGATTAGAGGTTTTACTGGACGCCAGACGACAGGCATTACACAGGGCTGATGTGTGCTTAGCAACCACAGTCGCCGCAGACAACACCTATAAAGGATAAAAATAATGTACTATCACATCAACTTTTAACAGGACTTTTTAATGACAAACTACTTGTTATTAGAAGTATATTAGCAACCATTACATATTGATATAAAATTTTGTATTTAGAACCAGGTTGGTGAATATTCCTGCTTATTATTATTAAAGCAAAAAAATAATTTGAAAAAAAGAACAGATGATTAAAAAAAATATTTGCACATCCATCATAGATATATTACAGTAACAATTAACTGCACTTAGATAGAATAATATCTTGTTTAAACTGACACAATACATGGCTGTTATACCAGAATCTCTAACTTTCATGTTTAATATGGTCTGTTACATTAACAATACCGTGTGTTAACTCTGAATTTCTGCCATACACACATTATATCTTTATTACACTGTCATATATGATATCTCTTATACACTTGGATATATTGTGTTAGTAACAAATATAGCCATTTTTTCGTGTGATATTGACCATTTCCTGGTATCATGTTTACACAATATATGATACACTGATACAATGATAAATTGTAAGTTTATCGTTTAATATGAGGGATATCTTCTACATTATGTGATATTTTAGAAATAATTTGTGTGAGAACATGCCACTGTACAGAAATTCAAATTCTATGATAACTGTCTCGTTATTGTACGCTACAATTGAGTGAGGTCATTCTGTGCTCTCGGTAAATGTTATCTACTCTCTAGTACATTCTAAATAATTCCAAACATTAACATATGATAAGATAAACCAATTTTTTTTTTCAAAATGACACTACTTAAGATACCTTAAAAAGAATTCATTAGACAAGTAATATACACAAGGAATATAATACAGGATATTATTCCCTTAAAGTTCTACTCATATTAACTTTCGATTTGGGAAGTCACCATGATTATAGCTGTATTCTGACTTAGTAGTAAATGAGAGATGAATTACAGTATAATGATATACATTATGTAAATAGCCTGTATAGTTTTCTACAGATACAGAGTTTATAGATCCTACTTCTGTACAGACAGACAAACAGACATCATCTACCATGGTAACCATCACTAAGCAACAGACACAACATATCCTCTTTCTAAGCCCGACAGATGACTGCAGCCAATTATTTTTTCCAGAAATTTTTTACTCTCAATAATGGACACTGTTACCATGGTTACCATTCATACAGACAAATTTCTCTACAGAGAAGCGTATATATCTCTACACGTAATACTGACAGGAAGTTTACAGAGAATTCTGGGAAATATACATTTACGTGGTGATAGCTTACATCATGCAGAGACCTTCTCTGGAAACGTAGGATGTAAAAGAAAAAAATAAGGTATATACACTGAAGTGATAAATATTCAAATTCTATAATGAATATTCAAATTCTATGATGAATATTCAAATTCTATAATATCTATCTGTAGGCATATATGCTGGTAATGAATATTCAAACTAATATCTATATCAATTAACATACATGAAGTGATGAATATTTCTATAATCATATCTGAATATTATCAATATGATAAAGAATATTCAAATAATGGGATAATTTGTATAATCATGAACAAATAATGACAACAATTTTTATCAATATGAGAAAACTTATAAACTGAATAGTGAATTGATAAATATTTAAGTAAATGTGTTATAGTAAAAAAAAAATCAAAACGTAAATATTCATGGCACCTTAAAATTTACAGGTAAGATGTTTATTCTTTAAAAGATGAAATAAAATGAAAACCAAGACACTATGATTTGGAATACTGTGGACCTTTTCACAAAATATCCTCCATCAATTCTCCAAAGTGTCTAAATTGTAGAAGGTCACAAAAAATATTATAATTCTATTACATTACAATAAATTGTGAATATTCATTCAAGAAAAATATATTATCTTCATTCAACGACAAAATTACAGAGTTGTCAAATTTTAATCTTAGTCATAAGATTTTTTGTGAAAAGGGCTACTGATTTATAAACAAACATAAATATTTGAGTAATTCTCAGTAAGGAGTATTAATTACATATGTATTTTACCTTCTTTCTATCGTACAAAAGGAGCTAAGAATAACCCAAAAAATGTGGATTAATTACAGTATATAAACCTAAACTATGAATAAATGGATATAATCTAAGGGGAATTTTATCAAGTCCTTAAATATCTCAATTACTTTGGGGTATTGGGCAACAGTCATAAAGCACTCATAGGGAACTAGTCCAAAAAATTATCTTCCTACAGACAACAAAAAATAGACCTTAATTTATTTTTCTTTCATCACACTGAAGGCAGACCGACGTCACAACATTGTGATAGCTCTGTGTAAACGAATTAAAAAAGACAAGTACACACAAATAAACTGAAACTAAAGATCACAATGCACAGGCATAAATGACCCCAGGGGTCAACCCGGGGGTGAAAGGTCACCTACCATAGACCTACAGCTATCCACCATGTAATACTAAACAAAGATAAGAATTTTATTGTGATGCTGTATAATAAAATTAATATCTCCACTTTATTTTTTTTAAAAAGCTATATTCTAATTATTTACTATGAACATTTGTTACATCATTATGTTAAAATTTTAAGTTTTAACTGAAAGTGTGAAGCAATGGCTTTGCAGGGTTTAGAAAATCTGGTTTACTTGGATACTGTGGTAGTTACTCAAAGCTTTGATATGATTCAGAGGCTGCAGTGTTAGAGAAAGGTATGTGCTTTGTTAAATATACAACAGAATCTAGGCCACAGCTTCCATAAAAGGTATATCATACTATCTTAAGCCACTAACACCGCCTATCCTAGAGGCAAAATGTATTAACTCCAACAAATACAAACATTAATATTTGTACATTTTGCAATAAGCAAATGTAACTCAGAAATACCACTAGTTTTATAATCTTTAAAACAATTGTTTCAATTTATTTTTTATGTACATCAAACATGTTTATTGTACAAAAGTTTTTGAAGGGTGAATTTTTTACACAAGATATAAACATCAGGATATTAATAAACAACAGCTCTTTTATCACTTCATGCAGTAAATTTAGTAATTTCACACAAAACTCAGAAAATTATCACTTCTCTAAAATTCTTTCCAGCAGGATTGTACGACTACCTGTACATTAGTACACAGCCTAGAGCTTGTAGCTGACTAGATATTAGGCTTGGAAGACTGTAGTCACTTAAGGAATGACCAGTCACACTGTATATAAGGTGATTAACTGTGTATAAACTGACCTGTTGCTGGGAGCTGGCTGGGTTGATCAGGTTCTGGCACGCCATCTGAATGGCCTGGTTAGCCCGGGCAAACTGAGACTGGTCCACGAGACCGGGCTGGCCTGGTTCAGAGGCCCCATCTGCAATGCCCACTAAATAGGCTGCCTAGAGGGGGGATAGGAATATTGGCATATTTAGTAAACACTCAAATTTTATTATCTGTAAATCTACAGTTAAAGATGAAACTGACTCTTTGTGTATAACAGTCATATGTTATCCATAAAAGTTCAAATCCATAGAAATTTCATAGTACTAGGGAAAATAGGCACTAGATTAAAGAAATTATGTTTAAGTAGAATCAATTTTTTTTCCATTGGTTCACACTACCTATATTTTATTGTACATCATAAGCAGATTTCTTTTTTTGGCTATTAAGAAAGAATTGGTCTCAACACAAACACTTTTGATATGTTCCCCTTACTTGTGAGGCAGCCTCTGTAAGTCCACAAACAGATGTTGAGAAGTTCCCTACAGAATCACAGAAGTTCACCAGGTCACCTTTCTTTGCGTGGTTTGTAATACCAGTCATAGAATCTCCCAAAATCTGTTAAAAACATACAAAGATGTCTAATCCTCAATCATTACCTTATACAGAACTTAATGCAGACAGAATAATGTGTGTTATAGCATAAGTGGATACTAATATAATATCTTAAGCATTATATATCTGGTTAGTTATATGAGAATGTGAATTAAGGATTAACAAATTCAATGTACACTTATGTTATACCATATACCAATCCTTTATCTTGTAAGCAATGATTTTCTACAAAATACAAGTGATCAGGGCCACGGAATGTGACTTGGGTGATATCATGCAAAGGAAATTGGAACAAAACTAAAAGTGCACTGAGACATTGGTTAACTAAGACTGTGACACTTACACTCACTCACAACACAGAATCCAGAGGGACAAGGGGAGACTATACAGGTAAAACAAACAGAGGCAGCTAGGATTGACATACATTATAAACAAACTAAAACAAAATTATTTAAATAAGCACATCAATATTCTCACACATGCTATGACCTTATGTTAACAAATTTGTGCACTAAGTGTATAAAACCTCAACCCAAAAGTCCTGCTCCCTGCCCTATTCCCCCATTACTAACAAAATTATTCTACATCTCCCATTCATCCCATAAAACAATATATGGCATGCATTATCTATTAAGTAAAGAAAAACAATTGGAAAGAAATAAATCTACATGAAATAACACAAGGAAAAAGTTTTTAAGACCAACAAATAAGAAATTGATAACTAAATTCTGTCTGATGTGAATAGAAGTCCTGATAGATTTTGAGGTTACAAATGGATGACATGTCCATGAAAGATTATGTTTGTCTTGAATAATTAAAATTCCACTGTCTGTTTATTGGTTCAGAAAAGTTCAGCAAAGAAATTTTCCTCTTTAGCAGATAAATTTATCCCAACTACCTCATTAGATAGCCAAGGTTCCTTTTATACATTGGTATATATATTTTGAAGCTTTCCAGTGAAATAATGAACACCTGTGACTCCTAATTCATAAACTTGAAAGATAACCATTTACATTACATTGTTGTATCTAGACATTAAATTCAGACTTATTTGTATTTTTTTTCTTTCTTGTCTGAAATAAAAAATTCTGGTCTAAAATCCTCCAGAAAGGAGAGAACTGGGCTTCCATATACATTCATATTAACTTAACATTGGTGATAAAAAAAAAAACTCCCTGTATAATAACAACTTGTCATGAGAAATATTAGGGATCATAAGAATAATCCCCCCCCCCCCCCACCTTTCCCCTTCCATGCTTGGACTTGGAAAAAGGAGATTTGCTGAAACTCACAGACAGACAAGCTCAACTGTTTACTGTTTATAGATCATCGATAGCAGGGCATTCATTTCTCAAAAAACAAAAATAAAATCTTCCCCACTACATGTAAAGGTGACTTTCTTTCCATTAATAAATGGTGAAATTAGGAATTAATTTGTAAATAAATAGTGAAAATTTTGAGGTGCCATTCATCTTTTGTGACAAAAGTGACCTGGTGTGTTGAGCTAGTCTGTTAAAAAAGCTTCTGGGTACAACAAAGAGAAGAAAGGTTATAGAGAATGTGAAATTTACCCAGACTTGGCCCTGTGATAAAATCCACACACAATCATCCAATCAGATGAGAGCATTCAAAAATTCAAACAATCATCTAATCAGATGGTAGTATTCAAAAATTCAAGCAATCAGCCAATCAGATGATAAGATTCAAATAATCAAACAATCAAGCAATTAGATGATAATATTTAAACAGAATAATCCAATAATATGTTGGCATTTGATCATAGATAAATATTCATATTCAGATTATGAATGTAGACTTGTAGCATTCAAATAGCTGTCTATGAATCATACTTTATCTGGCACTCATATATCTCACATCAGAGAATGAAACACAACTCAAGCAAGACAGCCGAAAATACTTCCAACAAACAGAGATGTTACAAAAATATAATCTTTTCATATTCTATACATTATGGTAGCAAATCTACAAGCAATTCCTTTAGGAATCAAAAACAAACAGTAAATCTATCACATTAATTCTTGGACAATCTACAAAACCATTAGATCAAGCATTCTAATTTTATTTTTTATGACGTTACCTTTGATTTTTCCATGACTGAGTCGAGGCATTCGAAATAGGACATGTCAGTCACCGGTTCATTAGCACTCTCCAACATAGACTTCATCATCTACACCAAAATAGGAAATGGATCAATATGTGTAAACTAAACATTGGTTAACAGAATCATATGATTACATATTAAAATTACTATTTCTTTTATTGAAAAATGGCTTGTCAAAGTGTTTGCTCAATATATGTCCAGTTAAATATCGGCTGAATCCAAAGACAGAATCTTAAATGTATATAACACATATAACTAACCAGGATATGTCTCGGGGCAGTATTACAATATCTGCCCCATGTAGTTATGACCTGAGGGCCATATCACAATATCTGCCCTGTGTAATAATGACCTGAGGACAGTTTTACAATATCTGCCCTGAAATACTGACCTGGATTTGTCTGAGGGCATTATCACATTCTTTCTGCCCTGGTGCTGATACTGTACACACATTGATTAACTGGTTAATACTTTCTGTTACAGCCCTGGATAAAAAGATTACATTATACATACAGTCTGAATGATACAAGCTTCATTACTGCTCCATGATTTATGATAGACAACAACACAGTCTCATAAATCTACATTTGACAGCATTTATGAACTTCAATATTCATGCATTCAAAAGTATAAAATCAAGTAAACTTCCTTAATGCCCAAAATGACCGACATTGATTCATTAACTAAAACAAACAATTCCTTAGGTGATTCAGTACCTGGCGGCCTGTGACAACAGATTCTTGGTGTTTGGAGCGTTTGGATCAGCAGACACAGATTTAGCAGCCAGCAAGAGTTTACTGGACACCATAGACACATTCTTCAGACCTCCCACTATCTGGTTCTGTGTGTCCACATCCTTAGACAAACCTGGAAATCAACCAATCAGAATCATCTTTATCACTGAATCCACCAATCAAAACATTTCTTATACATGTATAAAGTATAACACGCTTATAAAGAAGTGCCAAGGACTGACAATTTTGCTTTGCTATGAGTGTAATTCATTATATCCGTTTATTGTTCAATATATTTTCAAGTCTAGGGGAATGAAAATCACTTTGCTATAAGCATCGATTCACTATAAGCATGTTCCCTATAAGCGTGTTTTACTGTTACAATAATTTCCTTTCCCTCAAATGTTGAAACCAATTATGCATTTAGTATCTCCTCTTTGCATTTAAAGAAAATAACTATCTCTCCCCACCAATCCACCATCCCCCCTAAAAAAAAGTTCAATTAAATTGATATTCACCAGCCATAGTGAGTCCTGACTTGATAAATTCTGAGTACGAGGACCCGTACACTTGAGACGACTCGGCCAGCTGTTTGGGTGTGCCACGTGACGCGGTGACAATGTCACTGGCCGCCTGGTTCAGGTTCACAGCAGCATTGTTGATCTCAATCTGAACCTCCTGGAAGGTTCTGTCTGTGCTGGGGTACTGAAAGGGAAAAATAATTGTCAATGTACTGAGGTACTGATAGGGATAAATAATTAATGATATAATGGGGTACTGAAAGGGATAAATAATTATTTATGTAATAAGGTCCCGAAAGGGATGAATAATTATCAATTATCCAGGGTAATGAAAATAATAAGTGATTAATAATGTACTGGGGTTCTTAAAAGGATAAAGGGATTAATTATGTAAATTTGTGTTACCTGAGTGGTGGCGAGCTCCTGACTAGAGCTGGTGATCTGTCTGATGGTGTTATCTACATCTCTCTGTCCTGGCAGTGCGTTCACACAGTTATTGAGGGCTGCAGACACTGCCTTAGCCACTTGGTTCAGTCGGCTCTGGTTCTCTGGGTTGTCTGGATCATTCATGGCTCGCTTGGTTTCTTCTAGCAGCCGCGTAGATTTGTCAATGACTTCACGAGCACTGTCAATGACTTGACGTTTCACCTCAATGTCTTCCGAGGTTGCTGCAACACCACGTGTGGATTCTGTCAGAACACGGAGGGCGTTAGCGGTGTCTCTGGCTGCCACGCCTACATAATTCTCATTGCCCTGTGTAAATAAAGATATTTAAATAGGTCACGTAATAATTAAACAAGAACTTGCAACAGACGATAAGCTGGAATTGTGAAGCATTAATGATTCAACAATGATACTTTGTTTATTATGTCTTTTTCACCTGTGAAGCTGCTGTCAGAAGTTGGGCCATTGCTGATCCAACATTCTTTGAGGTGGATCCAAGTTTTGAAGCAGAAGATTCAGCCTGAAAAAAAATCCCTTAATTAACTTCAATCCTTTAACAATTTCACAGATAATGCAAAACATGCTCTGATAAATATGGGAAGATAGTTTCTAAAATACTTACATTATGTTAAAGCTCATTTCATATTTTACCATCAGGTATTTTCAAACATAAATATTAAATCATAAAAGACAGTTCAATAATTTAGTACACTTTGTGGTGTTTATGACCTTTAAGCTTTGACCCATGACCCACTTACAGTATCTCCAGGAAGTGGGACCAGATTGCCACTGTCCACCGCCCGGCGGTACTCCTCCAGGTCCTTGTCCAGTCCATTCAGCTGATCCAGTGCAGCATCCACCTCTAAAGATATACACATCTCCTCAGCCTTACCGGACGCTGACCTCAGCTCGGCCAGTGCAGTGGTCATCGTCTTCACAGCCTGGTTCAGGTTTATACTGGCCGATTGGTCACCAACAGTCGGGGCCGCGGCGTTAGCAGCAGACACCAGCTGACTGGCAGGCTGTAAAAATATAAATAGACATGTATATGTCAGAGAAGTTGTTTATACATAAAATTGTTCACAAATATTCCATTCAAATTACATTAACCTTATTTCTGTCAAGTTTTTTTTTACTCAAATCAATGAATTTCTTCTATATGACATGTATTAAAACTGTTATACAATCATTGACTTTAAGCATTTTATACGAATTTCTTGCTAGCATTAACTAGCTATAGATTACCATTACCTTAATTTACCTGGATGAATTCCTTGCTAGTGTTTATTAGGTACAGCTAACTTTTAGCAGCATTTTTATTTGTATAAATTCCTTGCTTGCATTTATGAGCTGTTGCTAACTTTTAGCAGTATTTATCTGTACAAATTCCCTGCTAGCATTCATTAGCTGTAGCTAACTTTTAGCAGTATTTATCTGTACAAATTCCCTGCAAGCAATCATTAGCTGTAGCTAACTTTTAGCAGTATTTACCTGTATAAATTCCTTGCTAGCGTTAATTAGCTGTAGCTGTGCTGTAGCAGTATTTACCTGTATAAATTCCTTGCTAGAGTTAATTAGCTGTGGCTGTGCTGTAGCAGTATTTACCTGTATAAATTCCTTGCTAGCGTTAATTAGCTGTGGCTGTGCTGTAGCAGTATTTACCTGTATAAATTCCTTGCTAGCGTTAATTAGCTGTAGCTGTGCTGTAGCAGTATTTACCTGTATAAATTCCTTGCTAGCGTTAATTAGCTGTAGCTGTGCTGTAGCACTGTCTTGGTTGGTCTCAGATTTACGGAAGCCTTGAATCAACAGAGGTAATTGTTCATTCATTATCTGAAAAAAAATACAATGTCATAAAATCTACAAATCTGCTGGTGATTAGAATTCATTTCAAGCAAAATATATATTAATATCAATAACTTTCTCCAAATATTATTGTAACCACTAAAGCCTAATTGAATAAATTGTTTTGAGTACTTCGATTGCTTAAGGTTTAATATGATTCAAATATCAGCAAGTAAATTGAGAATTTGATTGTTCATACTTATGAAAATCAAGAGATAAAGGTGGTGGGTTAAAATACAACTTATAGTTAACAAAGCTGCTGTGTTTATTATGGGTATTTATGAGGCAGTGTACTTATCTCAAATGTCATTCTGAAATGCTATCACCTAGCATGTTTGCATAAAAGTCTATCTTTTTGAGGTGTAACAGTGTATTTACCTGACATTGTTGTGTCAGCTGATGTTCAGAAGAAGTGTTGGTGTTAGATTTGTTAGCGTTCTTAGAAGCATTGATCAGCTGTGTGGTGGCTGAGGCAGTACGACGAGCTGCGTTCTACAAAATAAGAAAGATAATATTGAATTGTTTGAATGGTGAGTATATCAGAAAATAAATATCAAACCAAAGTAGTGATACCACTAAGAAACATTCAGCACGATAAAGAATTTATCATTTACTCTTGCTATTTGTAAAATATCTTGATGTTCATCCTTTCTCTTGTCTCTGCTATAAGCTTAGGATTATCCAAATGAAATTCAATTTACAATTACAATGCACTCAGTTTCAGCATACCTTGTGAGGTAAAATTGGACAGAAATGGTTGGTTAACTTGACAATTTATAAAGGAATAATAGTCATTTATACAAGTTACAGTTATCTCCCTTATCAGAGTAACAATGAACCTTAACATAAACTACTTCAGTGAAGTACCTACCTCTAGCCTCCTGATGAGTTTCTTTTTGAGGGCGTTACTAGCGGCGATGTTTGTAGCTGCACGTAGATCTTCTGCAGCACTGCGTAGTCTTCCCTGCTTATCTGAATCATTGGGACTGGAGGCACAACCCTAAAGACATTCATATATTCTCATTATGTCTTTCTGACAGTTATCTTTTAATACACGTTTCTACGATAGACTGTATTTACACTAAAGTGATGTCAAAGTCTTGCTATCTCTCAAAAATCAAACACATCCTATATTTATTTATTGAAAATGGAGAAGGAGCTTATACATGTAACACTAAACCGAGGAATTAACTTTGATCCAATGACCAGCATGAACAATCATATGACTTGTGATAACAAACACTTCTATTTCTTGGGGCTGTTTTCATGAAGTACCTGTAAACTACCTTAGGTATCAGTAAATATGTACCTATGGTCACACAATATCAGTAAACATCTACCTACAGAACAACTTCTACCTCTGTAATCAGAGGATGACTGTGCTTCTGCTGTTCCTATTACAGGGTGGGAGTGGATATATACATACCTTGGCAGCTTCCACCATGTTGGCGGTGGCATCAGCCAGTTGCCGCGCAGCAGCCAGGAGTCGTTTCTGCATGTCTGAGTCTGAGTGTCCCTCAGCCTCACTCCTAATGGCCCCAACCAAAGAGGATGTGGCCTGAAAGGATAGGGGCCAAGATCAGTTAAACATCAGGGTTATAAGAATATTGCAAAATACAAATAAAATTGTACTTGTATATGAAGGAATCACATGTATTCAATATTTTTTGTTTGATCATCTTTTGAGTTTTAATCCAATTCTAGTGGTTTCTCCTTTTTCTGAGTGTTGAATATGTTGTTAAATCCTATTGTGCGTTACTTACCTGAGCCAAGTGTCTAGCTTGTCTGACCATCTCGTGAGCATCCCCAACACTACTGAATAGTCGGTCAGTCACCGTCAGTATTGTGTCCACTGCATCCTCATGAGATTCTCCAGCCTGACAATTACATAGACTATGTTAATGAGTAAAGGTATCTACTGAATTTAATATTTCAGGAGGATTTTTCTTTTTTTGCACTGCTTTTAAGACTTCAAAAGCAAATGAAAAGCATTTTTTAAAATTCAAGTAAAGGTGCAATATTTGAAGACCTAAATTTCAGTTTAAAGACCTAAATTGAATTTGAAATTTAAAAGAATATACAACTGGATGTCTTGACTGAAGTTACCCCTATTCTATTCCTGATTTTGAGTGACTTACTGTGGTGGGTCCCGCTCCTTTCTTGATGTGCTGCAGTAAATCGTTCAGGGCCTGGGTGACCGCTGTGGCTGCCCCTCCAAGATCAGCCAGAAGTTTGTCGTCCCTACATGACTGCTGGGCGGCCTCCACGATTCCCTCCACAGAGTGAGCCACACCCTTAGCAGCCTCGATCAATTGCTCCTGACAGGCGGGGCTGCTTATGGTGGGGGCCACCACCTGATAAATGAAACAATCAAATGACAGACTTAGTCATTCAGCACTGACCCTTTAAACATGTATAATTAAGCAACTTGTCTAAAAATTGTACGAGAGTATAACATAATATTTAATATATTTTCTGAAATGTTTTCTCCAAAAACACGTTTTCTAGTAGTGCTCTATTTCTCTTTTTTTCGGCCGGGGGGGGGGGGGGGGGGGGGGGGGGCTCCTTCCCTTATCTGATGATAAAACTTGCTCTCAAAATTCATAATTTACTAATCTAGTCAAGAATTTTCACCTTCGTACAAGCTACGAGCTGGGAAGTAGCCAGAGCACAGCTTGTAGCTGAGCTGATGACTTTGTTCTGTAGCCCCTGGTCTTCTGTTGTACTGGCAACATTCTTGGCCTTCAGGACAAGCTGAGCTGTAGCGTTAGCCACAGCCTTAGCCAGAGCAAGCAAGGTCTCCTGCAAGTACAAAGAAAGAACAAACGACCATAAAGAAAAAGTTCATCGAACAGCAGCTGAAACACTACTATCTGAAAGTTCTCTGAAGAGTATTAAGCATTATAAGTTCTTGACTACATTTTGTTGCTTCTATATATATTATCAATGCTGCACATTAAGACCCGTACCTGATACATCTTGTCCATGTCGTCTGCTGTCTCCCCAATTCCTTGCATCACTTCCTGTGAAGCCTCGCCCACTGTCTTAGCTGCCGATATCAGGTTAGATTTACTCTGCAAGTATAAAAGTCAATAACTTATCAATAAGAAAATACACTCAAGTTCTACGTGTATGTATATTCTCTTAAAGGAATATCAATTCATGATAATTTTTCTTATGCCAGTATAAGACACTGTTACATTTTAATATAGATTTATGTGAGTACACATGAATGGTATACTAGAACATAATGATAATCCTGGACTGAGTTTTTCCTGAGTTAATATTATTACATAGCATCAACTTTCCAGTTCATCCATAACAAAGGTGCACTTTTAAACAAAAACAACAAGAGATTAACCTCCTTCTGTCCAGGTTCAGCCGCACTCAGGAGATCAGAGAAGGCACCACACAGACGTTTGGCGGCTCCCAGGAGTTTGTTTCTACTCTCATCATCATCCTGTAGTGCTCCCAGCATCCGCACGTCTTGGGAGAAATCGTCAATGTTGGATGTTCTGTTAGAAAGAAGCAAGACAAGGTTAATGCATATACTCTTAGACCTAATGAGACAATTTCAAAGAGACTGGGAGGTAAACAATTGATACATTCCTTCATCTCCAACCTTACTGCTTTTATTTCACTTATCACTGAAGTATATGTATATTAAGTTTTGGCCATTCCTCCATTTAATGAGTGAATGCTAAATCTTACATCTGAGCTACAGCTGCTCCCACACGACTGGTGTCAATTTCGTCATCAATAGACATAGTAACCAGCTGGGCTGTAGCTGCATTCATTGCTGATAGTTGGGCCCCTACCTTCTGTCTGGACAGATCTAACATGTTCTGTCTCCACTTCTTAGAAGCCTAGAAATACATTTAAATATAGTTGTCATGCTCTTATCAGTACGATACTCATGGAATAGAACAAAATGGCAAGGCTGAGATGTGCATTCCCCCCTCAATACCATATACTGATACTCATGGCATCATTTCCTAGGTTGGGCAGTGCTGCCCCTCAATACAGTTGATATACAAATCATACATAATACTCACGGCATCATTTCCTAAGTTGGGAAGTGCAGCCCCTTTGTCCATCTGTGACTCAGCCTGTCGTATGGAGGTAATCCCCTCCTCTATACACGTTAACAGTGCCCTCTGTGACTGAGACAACCCATACTCCTGGATATTTTGACTCTAAAAAATCAAAAGACCAGAGTTATCTCCAAAAATCAAAAGACCAGAGTTATCTCCCTTTCACAAATAAAAGCTGCTTTTAATATTTACAGTGAAGTTTAATACCAAATATGAAATCAAATTTTGATTTCTACTCAACATGTATTATTTACTTTCAGATAAAAAAAGACAAAAAAAGAAAAAGTAATTTAACATATTTAAAAAAAGGAATTTTCGAAATTATACAAAATATTTCCTGCTGAACACTGAAGATACATCATATTCTCGCTTTTTGCAAAATACTGACAGATTTTTTTAAAGGAAAAAACCCAATCTGAAGAAATAAAGAAGGGTAACACAGGGGCAGACTGTGATACAGACAGATATGACAGCATATGACTGGTGCAAACACAAACAACTAAAGGCCATCCATAACTAATTCATAATCACCATTCACTACAAAACCTAAAATAATTGGTGAACTTAAATAAAAAGGCTCAACATAAAACAGAAAATAAAACAAGCATCTAAGAATTCTACACAATTCTGGTCATTCTCACTGGATACTTCATCTCTTTGTGTGATGATATGTTGGTTAATGTATAATCTTTACATATGTCACATTAGTCTTTCTCAAGCTATTTCCATAAAGTCTTCCGACATTCACTTAACACACATATGATTTGTCTAAACACTGCCATGCTTTCTTGGCTCTTACCTTTGGACACAGATTTGCTAAATACTCTATGATTAGGTTATTCATTAAATTTATTTTTGATGAAATCTATGTCTGTAATATATGAGATGATAATCAAATAACTCCTTACTATATTTTTCACTTCCTATAAAATAACCACTCTCTTTTTAAATAAACCCTTTTTCAATACTGTAAAGGGGTTTTAATTTTTTTGATGTATAATTTTGCTTTTTCTTTGACAACTACTAATAACAGGTTTTACAATTCAGGGCATTGTAAATTACATCTTCTACGTGTATTGATCTTGTTATTCAAATTCTTAAATTAATGACTTAATTATCAAGGGTAGAAATATAGCAAATATTAACAAGACAAGTTACTTCCCTATTTCCATAGATCTCTCCCTAAAAATGATTTTTTTTAAACCAACCCATTCCCAGAAAAAATAGCATGTTATCCCCAGGTGCATATATCTCATGTTTAAATATTTGATCTTTTTTTTTAAAGTTTGTAGAGAAAATTTTTTTAATTATGATTCAATCTAGATATCTTCTTGTAGACTATATAGACTTTAATCAACCAATTTAGTCACAAATAATATGGATACAAAATGACTGGGGTGTCAATAAGTACTGGAACAGTTAGTAGGCACACCTGTCTGTTGCCATGCACCATATGCATTTCGTTTGAGACCTGTCCGTGCTGGGCTGAGGACATGGATCCCATGCTGATCTGTGTTTCCCCGGAGACTCCTCCCCTCATCACCCCGGGCATAGCGACAGAGGCGACATCTGGGTGGCTGACATTGCCCTGCATCCGGGAAATAATGGTTGCCCTGGTAACAGAGAAGTCCATGGTAACAAAAAATCGCGAGGTTATAACTTCTTTATTCCATTTCATGAAAACAACTCTTGAAAGATAAACTTTCTATACAAATTCAGTTTCCTACTCTTATTTACCTCACAGGAGTGATTTTTACCAAATATTTGGAAAATAAGTAATGAATGAATATAATCAAGAAAAATATATTCACAAACTGTGGAATCATTTTAATTCATAGGGGGTCAATGTTTGTGGGCAAGCAGAATTTTACTTGTTCTTGGGGACGTAATTGCGTGGGTTATTCATTTATATGGTATATTCAATGCATCAATATGTTGACAAAATAAACGTCCGAGGGGATATTAATTCATGGGTAAGGGTGACCCACAAAATCCATGAACATTGGTCCCCCACGAATAATGTTGATTCCACAGCATAGCCTTACTTCTGAATGGGTACAAAATGTGTATCTTTGTACACAGTACTTAAAGATTGTTAGTACAAGACAAGACACTGCATATTATTTATTAATATGTTCATGTATTTCACACTACAAAATTATCTAACTAGAAAATTTGTTCCATATTGTTCATTTTTAACCCAAAATTACTCAAAAACATGTTACTAAAACAGACATACAAACATTTAGCTGTTGACACACTGTGATCATGACATTTACTTAGCTAATGATACACTTTGCAGGTAAGACATTCAGCTGATTACACAATTCCTTTTAAGTTTAGCAATGACTAACTTAGATGATAACAAACTTTCTTTGCTAATGATATTTGGTTTGTGAGACACTTGCTTCATGGGTAACACACTTTGTGGGTGACACACTTTGTGGGTGACACACTTACTTTGTGGGTGAGTTTAGCTGTGACACACATCCTATGTTAGTAACGTATTAAATGATGACACACTTACTTTGTGGGTGAAATACTTACTCTGCACACTTAATGGATGGCTTACTTTGCGGGTAATACACTTTATGGATGACTTACTTTGCGGGTGACACACTTTAAGGATGACTTACTTTGTGGGTGACACACTTCAAGGATGACTTACTTTGTGGGTAACACATTTTATGGATGACTTACTTTGCGGGTGACACATTTTATGGATGACTTACTTTGTGGGTGACACACTTTATGGATGACTTACTTTGCGGGTGACACACTTTATGGATGACTTACTTTGCGGGTGACACACTTTATGGATGACTTACTTTGTGGGTGACACACTTTATGGACAACTTACTTTTCAGATGACACACTTTATGGATGACTTACTTTGTGGGTGACACACTTTATGGATGACTTACTTTGCGGGTGACACACTTCATGGATGACTTACTTTGCGGGTGACACACTATCTTCATACATAGGAGCTTCATCCGAACCTTCAATTCCCAGGTGATCCTTATCTTTTTTCTATGATCAAACAAGAAATAAACCTTGATCAAGTCATGTGACCTTAGCCCCGCCCATCACTTACTTTCCCTTAGAGACATTTTCCTCAAACATGGCTGTGTCATCTTCAGCATCTATTCCAATGTGGTCATCTTTATCCTAGTCAAACAGGAAGTTCATTAATGCATGGTTTGAGAAGGTGGATCTAATTTATTGGGAAATTATAAAAGTTTACTTGAGTACCTCCCCCCCCCCCCCCCCCCCCAAAAAAAAAAGTTTCCCTTTGTCTTATTTTTACCAAAAAATGGTGAAATAGTTTCTAGATCCATCCTCATCGATCATTCAATGCAATCTTTTCCTATCACTATTTCTTGCACGAAGTTATTTTTGGCTCCTTTTCATTTAATTTGAAGATTAAGTTTTTACATCTAGATTTCCAAAGAAAAGCATAGGAAAAGATTGTATTCATACAAAAATGTGAACAAATATTCTCTTTTTCTTTATCTCTTTTTCTAAACAAGTGCTTTTAAGCATTTTTTTTAATCTGAAATGTTCCCAAAATTAAATTTCATTATTTTGATATCATTTTTTTCCATTCATTAATTTGTTGTTTTTATAAAAATGAACTCAGGATTATAAACCAGAAAAAGAGGTATATGTAGATCTTATAGATAGACAGAGAGCATTAAAGGTCAAAAGGTCATACATGGAGACAACCAATCAGCCATCAGCATTCCATTCATTGATCAAGTAAGCTGTACATCTTCTTATTGACTGGAAAAAAAGAACGTGCAATATGACGCTTTAACATTAATAAATATAATGACAGAAACTAAAGTGTGTACTGTATAAAACAGTGAAATCAGAAAGCTGATAAATGTAGCTGAATACAAGGCAGCCATTGAAAAGTCCAAGTTTGTGGTGTTTCTGTAAAGAAAATTCTCATGCTAAATATCATTCAATTTGTTAGTAAAATGAAGTTTGATAAATGTACCTTAATGTCATTCTGATAAATGAAAGTTTAAGATGGTAATGATATGATCTGAGAACATTGGTTGCTAAGGGGGATAATCAAGAAGTCAGGAAAAGACAACTCCTGTCATTGTACAACATGCCACTTCTGAAAGAAATTATTTAAATACAGATACACGTGTCGTATTGCTCAGCCATGCAGAGGATGATTAAGAGATCAAACCTTTGACAGAATTTCAAATCAGCATTAATGCATCTACTTTATCACTTCTTGAAAGTCTTTTTTTTTTGATAACCTTAAACAATTGTTACAATCAATACACTAAGCCTCTGTTAGTAAAATAAAGTAGATGCATAGGCTGTTTGAAATTCTGTTGAATTTTTTATTTCTCTTGTTTTATTTACCCCCTACAAAAAAGTTTGCATTTCATTGAAACAAATACTCAATACATAAATATATATATGAATGTCCTCAGTAGAATCAGACAAATTTTAACACAAAGTCAAGACGTTACAAATGTATTTTTTTTCTCTGATGTATTTTATTAAAAATAATTTAAAAGCAGTAATCTTTAAAAAAAAATTTCCACCTTTATTTGGTCAGTATGTGATTTTTCTAAATAAACACAAAATCTTATTCTTTACAACTCATCATGAGCAAACTCAACAGAGAAGAAGTTAATATATGAGCTGGTGGCCTTACCCGTTTGAGTATAATGTCGATGTAGCCCGCGATCAGTCGTGAGATCTGTTCTCCTTCCTGTGTTTGTACCGAGTAATACGAGTCTGAGTAGTCTCCAAAGTCCTACAACACAAAGGTTTACATTAAATCTACAGGCTATAGACTCATATATACATACCAGTATATAACAACTGTACAGAGACTTGTTTAAGTCTGAGTAGTTTCCCAAGTGCTAAAACACAAAGGCTACCAATGTAAAACTATTTTAGGAAGACCTTACCAATGTAAAACTGTTAGGGGAAGCTGCCCATCGTTTGACTGTAGTCAGTGGCCATGTTTTCATAATCTGAAAAATATTTTAAAAAATCTGTAAAAATCACAATTTTCAGTAGACAAATGCAATAACACATATTTACACTGTTTAATCATGAATTGAAAAGGGGGCAGGAGGGGGTGGGGGTATCTTTGCTTACTTATTCATATCTCTCATATGGAGACAGCCTTTCACATTTTCCTTTTGTTTACACAAATCACTTGAAGAACAGAGGGGATTTCCCCAGCTATTTATAGAACAAACCTCTTTGGTTTTTTCATCCATCCTCACCACACTCTCCTTTGTAATACCAAGCAAACGGGGAACCAGTTTATTCTTGCCGGGCATTTTCTCCTAAAATTACAAGACCAAAGTATTCAGTAACACAACACAATGTCAGTTGATTGTAAATTCCGTCATGATTTTTCAAAGGTTATTTTTGTCATTTAAGTCCAGTGAAGAGATTATCATGCCTTGGTTTACCTGTGAAGACATTGTCTTACCTTGACCAGGAAGAATGTGATTCCGTAAGTCTTTAATCCTCTACATTTCTGTGTATACTTGGCTTTGGCTTCAAATTCATGAACACCGACCCATTTCTTATGTTCCTATTAATTTGCAGAACACCACATTCATAAGAGTTACTTATAGCGATTTAAAAAAAAATTCATTAAGGATTATTTTAAATTCTAAATTTCTCAATTAATAAAGCAAAAATTTGTATTCAGGGATGGAAAAGAAGAACATCAACTCAGATTACTCATCTGCTACAATATCGCTTGCAACTTTGCTACAGAAAAATTATTTAATAAAATAATTCCATGTAATAAGAAAACACTTACAGCAAAAATTCTCTTCTCAATTTTCGGTGTTTTGACATACTCTTTCGGTAGAAATTCTTTGACACTGAAACAAAATGAATGGCAAATTTTAACTCCAAAAAAATTGGGACCAAATCTCTACTGTTAACACAGATCCAACAGAAGAAAAACCAATGAAGTATTCATCATTTATGAAAACTTCCGCAAGAAATTTACTTAAATTTTAATTGAGAGAATTAAAGGGAGATAACTCACTCTAGAAATCCTGGTTTGTGTTTGTTTTCTATGTAATCTCCAAACTGTATGTGAACCTGTATCCCCGCCAGACTGATAGCCTCCTCCAGGGTTACTGGGTGTGTACCATCCAGGATCGCATCACGAGACTGAAAAACAGCAATATTATAAATAAATAGTGAATCTAAAATCATTCAAACTCAGTACTATTTCATCAAAATTTCTTTATGTGTTTTAACCTTGATACATGTATCTCAAATCCTTGGACATCTCGGGTTTTTTTCTCTGTGCCATTGTGTTTGAGATGATATTAACAGTACCAGTAAAAGTTTCCTACCTGTACATACAGAAGATTGAGTTGTACCGGGTCTCTCTGGTCAACATTTTGGTCAGAGAAGAAGAACTTTCTCCTCAGTAAGAGGGTGTCTGTGTCAGCCACACCCTGCTCTCGCAGTGTCCTCGAATGATCCAACCACTCCACTAAAAAATTCACAATCAGTCAGCACTGATTACAAATTCTTGTTCTACTATATTAAATAAACCAATATTCCTCATCTATAAAAATCTTCATTTAAATGTCTGGATATAATGCCAGACTATGGTTTTAAGGTTTGGAGGGTTGGGGGTGGAAAGTTTTAATGCTGATCTACTACTTTGTGAAACTATTTGACGATTCTGACTGTGTTTGGTGTATCAGATCACATACTGTTTTAAATTTTTTTCTAGGTTGACCTATATCGGTCGTCTGTGTGTAGCTATAAATAGATTGATTTACATTTTTCGTCTGTGTGAAGTTACAGATTGACCTACATTAATCATCTGTGCATAGCTATCATTGAATTGACCTATAATTGTTGTCTTTTTGTAGTATAAATATATTTACCTACATTTGTCATTTGTATAGCTATAAATAGATTGACCTTATATTCATCGTGTAGCTATAAAAAGATTGACCTACATTCGTCATCTGTGTGTAGTTTTTTCCTCATTTCCTCCAGTTTTTTCTGATCCTTTGCGATGGATTTGTCTCGGCGTAGAGTCAGCGTCTTCTCTTTCTCATCGTCAGTCATCTCTCGTACCAGAGAGTATTCTTCATGGTTAGAAATGCCTGTAAATCAGGTTTACATGTGTATTGCTTTTTTTTTATCTACTTTTCAGATAGGTATCAGTGGAAACAATTCAGTGTATCTGTTTGAATTATATCTAAAAGCATATATATCATATATGTGTGTTATTTAGCCATTTTGATATATATCTATTGATGTTCAGTACAAATGATAACCATTTTGATAGAAATATATTGAATCAGATGTGCAGTGTTCCCGATAAGCCTTTTGATACATGTATTGAAGAGCTCTATCCACATCATTTTCCCATTTTGATATATGTATTGCTGTGATAAATGGCCATTTTGATACTATACCAATGTGCAGTATCTTTAATATAATTTGCCCATTTCGATACACATACTGACATGTTGAATCTATGATAATTACTCCTTTTGATATAGGTATCCATGTTTGGTATCTGCGATAGCTAGCATTTGATACATATATCAATGTGTGATCTCTGTGATATTTACCCATTTTGATACATGTATCAATGTGTGATATGTGATATTTACCCATTTTGGTACGTATATCGATGTGTGATATGTGATATTTACCCTTTTTGATACATGTCTCAATGTGTGATATTTACCCATTTTGGTACAAATGGTCACCATCAATTGACCAACTGTATGGCTGTCGTCTACCTGTAGTTTTTTCTGCATGCCATCTAAGGTTTTGATTTGTAATATTCTCATTTTCTTTTTGTACTCCAATAAATCCTAAAATATTGATTTTTAATATTTAAAACAAAATTGCTCCTTGACAACTTTGTTGCAAGATTGTTCATTATTTTTCCCTTTTTTGGGAGTGTCATCCATTTGTTTCTAAGATTACAGTTTCACAGACACTCCAACAGATTCAACATCATTTTTTGATTGTTTGAAGTGGATGTATATCTAAGAATATCTTAAATTCCTTGAATTAATGAAAATTTGTAATCTAGCACTCTTACAATCATATTAAACTCTCCAATAGAAATGATTAGTTATATTGAGTTCATCCTTTCTTCCTTATGTCATGGAACTTTTCCATTCATAAATAATTATGAATTAAATTGTTTTCTTCCTGGCTAGACTTCATTCAGGATTTGCAATGTAAATAGATTGCTCCAATAATAGATCGTAAAATTTTGCATGTCAAGTTACCCAACCCTCACATAAAAGCATATTCCATTATGATCTGTTCAATGTACAAGGGCCATTTAAAAATTACGCAGACTCTGCTATTATTACAGATGTGAAATTATACAGAAATATATCTCTTAAAAGATTCAACTTTTAATCTTAAATTTTGAAAATTAAAGATTTTTGATATTTATTAATGGCTCCTAAAACTACAGCTCTTTTGATATTGCTGATGGTGATGTACAGAGCACGGCAAATATTTTTGAAAAAACTAATTTACAGAATCAACTAATTTTTCTGTGCAATAAGTCCACATAATTTTTTAATGGCCCTTATAAAGACACAAAACAACACTGTTTTTAATTACTATTACTTGAATTTCAATTTTAATTAAATGATGAATTTTTACCACATTCCCAATGGGACACTTACCCCATTCCTCAGGAGGTAGTAGTCCAGTGTCCTCCCTGGTTCTAGCCACACCCCTTTTTTGGGATCCTCATCAGCCAGAAAGAGTCCATAATCTTGTGCTACAAAAGTGAAAGTTTACAATCACTTCAACATCACTGAACATGTGTTCTTATAAATGTGAATATGTTATTTTTGCACATAGACCTTTCTGCCCCAACCACTGCCACACCAACCCACCCCCAAAAGAAGGAAAAAACTTAATAGTTGGGAACGTTTTCTTTTATTAATAAATACAATAATTATAAGATAAAGCACACTTTAAGCAATATTTGTAATAAAGTCCTCTAAATTGGTTCTGCTTCTATAAATTTTCTACACAGCCTAGTAGGTATATTTTTTTCTACTAAGTCATATCTTTGGCATACTTGCATGTCAGTACCAACATCTGACTTGTTCCATAAAGCTCGACATCAGCTTTGCATTAAATAAAACGCAGCTCTGAGCCTGATTCTCCTAAATTACAATATATTACGCAGTCTTTGTTTAACAATACCAGATGCCAGCCTTCACTGCCATTTTATTGTGCAAATTTAAATCATGACAATTTCTAGTTTCCCCTGAGACTCTGCAATCAATATAGAGAGAAATGTTAGAAATAGGAATCCCTCCCGCATCACCCTACAGCTGACATCAGATCAGCTCTCTTATAACATGGTGGTCTCCGAGCATGGCAACTTTGGCTAATATTGATGACAAATCTGTGTTACAATGAGGGCCCTATTTGTATTCAATCATATAATCTGAATTTAACAAATAGATGATGGTCGATTGTCACTTTATACATATAATGGGTTTTTAAGTGAATTACCTAGGTTTGAAATTAATGCATATAAGAGCATATAATTTGAGTTACACAACTAACAAACATCAAATTCCAACACGTATAGCTATGCTATAAAGAATTTATCATACATACAGAGTTATTACAGAAAACCCCAAATAAACATGGTATTGTAGAAAAAGAGAGAAACAGAATACACAAAAAACAAATCTCTCAACAGATTGTATAGGAACCAGGCCTTACTTCCTGGAGTTACAGCACAATTAGGTCTGACTCACCACGATGTCACTTAAAGACAGCATGCTGTCGTACACAGGGAGGCAATGTTCTGGTTCTCCATGTATATAAGGCCTACATCAATTATTTCCTTCACACACAATATATAAACCTCCCTCTCACAAAACATCCCCCTCTAAATCCTACAGATATAATTTTAAACTCCAGTTTCTTTTTTTAATGTTTCGGGCTTAATATGAATCTATTTATTGAAATGATTCGGCATGTAACACTCCATGATGCCTGCCATTCTGCTGGCTTAGGAGATATTTTTGTGAATGGAGTTTTAAATCTCTTGGTGTTTATTTCCTGTCAATCAAAGTGTGGGAGGATTATGGATTGGACAGGTGCCCCCTCTTGATATATCACTATAAATAGATCATTAAATGGGAAATATAAAATACACATAAGGATAGCTAATTCATCAAATTTATACTGCACTGAACAAAAGTGCTTAATTTGAGAGGGAATATTATTTAATGAATTTCCTCTTTTTTGAGAACAAAATCATTATACTTAGTTAATAAATGCTAAAAATAAATTTTGCAAGAGTTTCTGATCTCAACTAAAATGCATAAAATGTCCACAATCAATATTTCTTATGTCACATCTGCTGGAAATTTATAAATTTACAAGTTAATTCATCATCAATCCATCAGCTGATATAACCTCTCCTACTTAGTGCTTAATCAGCATTTTTTGCTCCATTAGAAGTTTTTTATATACACAGTGAGCCTCCATTCAAACAAACACACAGCTGATTCCAATCTTGGTGGTAGGATACTAGGATCAGACACCTGCTCAGAGCTATTTTTATCCACAAGTTAAAAAATATTTTGGATCCCGCTGGGGGAACTCTGATACAGTGATGTACCTCAGACATCAGGCCATGTGCTAGAGGTGATAGGAGTGTGTGCTGTGTGGAGCTTTAACATTCTACTGTCAGTCAATACAATTATAAGCCAGTCTAAAATAGGCAACTCAGCATAAAAGGAATAACTTAAAAATTTAGTTATTTTATGATATTGCATACATTAGCCATGTTAGCTGAAGGAGATAAAGGTACAAGAAATAAATCACCAATGAAGCAAAATGCAGCCTCCCATCCCCACCCCCAACCCCCCACACACATACAAACACACATTTAGCAATTGAAAGCTTTTCTTGCAAAATTGGCATTTCTGTGTGCACTAGTCTTCATGGAATATAACATAAAATTCTCTCACCATATGTCCTTTTTTTACTGTACATAACATGTAAGAAACCTTAGCTACTTACGATTACCAGGGTTGGTCTCTATAATGCGATCCCTGATGATTTTACAGGCGTCGTACACCTGAGTGGACGGCTCGAACTGCATCGTCTTGACGACATTATTCCCCACCACGCTGATCTTCAGCGACAACATGGCCATCTTGGCGGTGTGTTGTGTGTGGCCGGTTCAGCCCCGTCTGTCTGTCTGTTCTCTGGTTTGTCTGTGGGTTTAGTTTTGTCTATACAGCGAGCATCACCATACACATCTGAAATGATAATACAGATTCGTAAACAAGGAATGCCTCAATATTAAATATCACCGACCACAGTAACACACAAAACAAGAGGCCCATGGGCCACATTGCTCACCTGAGTAACTTTGGCCATGCTGTTCATTACCAGACTTCCCCCCTTGTAATACCTATTGTGGCCCCGCCCTACCCCCAGGGGCCATGATTTGAACAATTTACAATCTACACTACCCCAGGATGCTTCCACATAAGTTTCAGTTTTTCTGGTCCAGTGGTTCTTAATTTTAACAATTTAGAATCTACACTACACCAGGATGCTTCCACATAAGTTTCAGCTTTTCTGGCTCAGTGGTTCTTGAGAAGATGATTTTTCAAGATTTTTCCTATATATTTCAATGTAAAACTTGTATTCCCTACTGTGGCCCCGCCCTACCCCCAGGGGTCATGATTTGAACAATTTAGAATCTAAACTACCCCAGGATGCTTCCACATAAGTTTCAGCTTTTCTGGCTCAGTGGTTCTTGAGAAGAAGATTTTTCAAGATTTTTCCTATATATTTCAATGTAAAACTTGTATTCCCTACTGTGGCCCCGCCCTACCCCCAGGGGTCATGATTTGAACAATTTAGAATCTACACTACCCCAGGATGCTTCCACATAAGTTTCAGCTTTTCTGGCTCAGTGGTTCTTGAGAAGAAAAATTTTTAAAGATTTTTCCGATATATTTCAATGTAAAACTTGGATTCCCTATTGTGGCCCCGCCCTACCCCCGGGGGTCATGATTTGAACAATTTAGAATCTACACTATCCCAGGATGCTTCCACATAAGTTTCAGCTTTTTTGGCTCAGTGGTTCTTGAGAAGAAGATTTTTAAAGATTTTTCCGATATATTTCAATGTAAAACTTGGATTCCCTACTGTGGCCCCGCCCTACCCCCGGGGGTCATGATTTTAACAATTTAGAATCTACACTACACCTGGATGCTTCCACATAAGTTTCAGCTTTTCTGGCTCAGTGGTTCTTGAGAAGAAGATTTTAAAAGATTTTTCCTATATATTTCAATGTAAAACTTGTATTTCCTATTGTGGCCTGCCCTACCCCCGGGGGTCATGATTTTAACAATTTAGAATCTACACTTCCCCAGGATGCTTCCACATAAGTTTCAGCTTTTCTGGCTCAGTGGTTCTTGAGAAGTAGATTTTTAAAGATTTTTCCGATATATTTCAATGTAAAACTTGGATTCCCTATTGTGGCCCCGCCCTACCCCCGGGGGTCATGATTTGAACAATTTAGAATCTACACTATCCCAGGATGCTTCCACATAAGTTTCAGCTTTTTTGGCTCAGTGGTTCTTGAGAAGAAGATTTTTAAAGATTTTTCCGATATATTTCAATGTAAAACTTGGATTCCCTACTGTGGCCCCGCCCTACCCCCGGGGGTCATGATTTTAACAATTTAGAATCTACACTACACCTGGATGCTTCCACTTAAGTTTCAGCTTTTCTGGCTCAGTGGTTCTTGAGAAGATGATTTTTCAAGATTTTTCCTATATATTTCAATGTAAAACTTGTATTCCCTACTGTGGCCCCGCCCTACCCCCAGGGGTCATGATTTGAACAATTTAGAATCTACACTACCCCAGGATGCTTCCACATAAGTTTCAGCTTTTCTGGCTCAGTGGTTCTTGAGAAGAAGATTTTTAAAGATTTTTCCTATATATTTCAATGTAAAACTTGTATTTCCTATTGTGGCCTGCCCTACCCCCGGGGGTCATGATTTGAACAATTTAGAATCTACACTATCCCAGGATGCTTCCATATAAGTTTCAGCTTTTCTGGCCCAGTGGTTCTTGAGAAGAAGTTTTTTTTATGACCCCACCCTATTTTTGTCTTTTCTTGATTATCTCCCCTTGTAAGGGGACTTGGCCCTTTATTTTAACAATTTAAACTCCCCTTCCCCCAAGGATACTTTGTACCAAGTTTGGTTAAAATTGGCCCAGTGGTTCTTGAGAAGAAGTTGAAAATGTGAAAAGTTTACAGACGGACGGACGGACAGACGGACAGACGGACGGACGACGGACAACGTGTGATCAGAAAAGCTCACTTGAGCTTTCAGCTCAGGTGAGCTAAAAATTTTGATTCCCCCTCCTCTCTCTCTCTCTCCCTCTCTGTCATAAATATTTGATTTTAGAGGAATTTTGATTTGTTGTACAGAATCTTTCTCCGATTCCATAGACAGAGATATGAAATTGTGTCAAATTAAAAGCCACAGCACCAATCAGATCACCCACATTGTGTAAGTTAATAGTGAGCTGTGAATCTGATGTTAGCCAGCAACAATAAAACATCAGTCCCTTACTGATTTGAAACTCTACACAGATGAATTGGATAAAATTCCCAAGTTTGACAGTGATTGTCTGACAATTCAAAAAAAAAAAAATTAAATTTTTTAAATAATCATGTCACATCATCCAAAAAAACTTTCAGCCTTTGATGCAAAATCTCTCTTTTCCTAAAAAAATTTTTTTTTTCGTTACAGTACTGTAAAAATTTCTGCATTTTCTAGCATGCAATTAATATTTCACAACTAAGGGCTATTGGTTTGTTAAGACAGGGCTTAGAATGATTGCTTTTTACAATTTTAATAGAAGATTAAAATATAGAATAATTTACACATTAAATCCAAAACTCAATTTTTCATACCTGTTGCCTCACAAAAGAGAATATTATACTATATGACCCTTAATACACTGAGATTTTTAATGGTAAAGTTACATATTTTAAATGCCATTTACAAAAGTCGTAGATGTCAAATGGTGAGAGCAACGGATAGTTTTACATCAGAAAATATGAATCTCTGTGTAATATTTTAACAGGGTATTAAAAGGTGGATAAAAAAGTCTGGAAAAATTTCATTGCTCAGCTTCTGAGGCCTGGATTAAATACATTACCTTGCTTTATTCTCCTTTGATAACAGCTTCTACTACACTTGATGATGGACACTAGGAGCCAATCAGCTATCAGATAAACTGGTCTCAATTTTAAGGAGAACCAGTCAATTTTACCTAACTCCAAACTTGGAATAACTGTTGTCAAAATAGTTACACAGACCATATTGTTACAAAACTTCAGTCTAGTTTAATTGAATTTTTAGTAAAATGCAAAGAACTCCACTACTAGAATGTATCTTCCCAAACTTCCTTGTATAATACAAATCATACAAAAAAAAATTCTCACGGCCATTATTAGGAAATTCCTCTATGGCAACAAAAACCCAAATTCAAAATACAATGTTCTGCTCTGTAGGTAGGATAAAAATTTCTTCCCAATGATCCCGATTACATACGATATGAACACAAGCAGTCATCACTATTAAGTCATGATCTTATCCCAACAATCTGCTACCAATTCACACTTTGGGACAAAATGAAATTCTCTCCCAATGAACTCAGTCACAGCTAAAGTTTTAAAGCATATCAAAGTCCACTATCAGACCTAAAGCCTTCCCCAGTAGCCCAGGCTGAAATCAATTCTCTCCACTGAAACCGTCCCATATTACAGCGCACTACATCATATTGCAAACTGTCGGACAGCGGGATAACTTCTATACTGGAATCTCATGCTAAAGCTTCTCATTTACATAAATGTCAATTGTTCTACACACAATTAGCATCAGTCCCCAGATAATTACTGCGACTTCAGTAAATGTCGACGGGGGACAATTTCTCCTGCATCACAGAGTTCTTTTATCGTCCATATGGCAATTCCCACGACAAATGAAATAAAATCAATGGGACTAAAATACTGCATAATAAAAGCAGCATTTTGTGAACATCCATTCATAAAAAATCTTGGGAGAGGAATATTTCAATATTTACCCCATTAGTAATCGGTTTGTTTAACACTTTTATCTGGACTGTTCTCTGATGCTAGTCCCATAAGTAAGTCCAGAAGAAACGGAATTCAGCAAAATGCAGACCTCTCTATAAACAAACACTAACAATGCTAGCTCAAAATTTTCATGTTAATCTTTGTGTTATCTCTTAAAAATGTATATTCCAAAACCCTTTTCCAGCCATCTAGATCACCTTGAACTTTTTTTTTCCATTTTAAGATTACATATATCCCCTTTCTTTTTTATCAAATGAACTTCCAACACAAAAGCAGTACAAAAAAAGTTCCCAACAAAATCCACAATTCTTCATTAAGTTCATTTGTCCTCCATTTCATAAAAGAAAAGTCATGTCCCAACATTCCCCAATTCCCATTCCACATTTTCTGCCCAGATAATGCAATCCTCAAAGCGTTATTTTTATCTGCCAAGATGTAAAGGATAATGAAAATTTTTTGAAGAGATGCATTTAAATACTAAAAGGTAACGCACTTGTATGTCAGCTCCAAGTGCTATAGTGGGCGACGCTCTATCGCAATGGAACCCACCTATCACAAAACTCCGTAATAGGCGTAATTCGTTATAGAGGCCCTGCTTATACCCATTGTACAATAACATCTTATTTGTCTCCAGTCATTCTCTCTAACAATAGAGGAATTAAGATCCGTAGTCCTGGACCACTTAGGGACAATCATGCCCATAATAGACGCACACAATTAGCTGAGTAATCATAAAATGTTAGCGGCGTACTGCGTCAAGTGGTGCAGTTATAATAACCCCCATCACAAAACACAGGCTACGTCCTACCATCTTTGAATTATGTGTAGCTGCAGTCCTTATGTTTGAATATTGGGTTAAACCACAATCACCAGACCTGACTTCAGCACAATATGACTTTACTAACAATGAACTGATTTAATACTTCCTTGATTGAATGAATAATTTTACCATCATACTTTGAGCAATAATTTCTAGCACAGGAAACAAGGCAATATTCTAACACGTTACATCTTGGAATGCATTGTTTGCATTGCATCACTTGCAAACGTACTCAATAATGCATAATTAAGTCTGGTATTTGATAATCATGATAAACCAGGATTTTGTGTTTTTTTTTACAACATGTAAAAGTTGCTGATATTTAATGATACATGGCATGTCTACATTCAAGCTTTCAACTTTTTGTGATATTAGATGTAGTGAGAGGGTGAATTAAGTTTTTAGAACTTGTGCCCAATCCCATTGTATATATTTATTGCAACAAAATATGTTCAATTAAATCAAATTTTGGTTGCTATTCTTTAACACTGTGCTGTGAGTTCATATTTTGTAGTTCTCTGTTGAGATGTATAAATTAAGATAAAATAGGTGTAGATAACAAACAGGTATAATCTCGATAACCCTACGAACAATACAAATCTGTGAACAAGGCATTTATAAAACATGGAACCCTGGAAATTCCTGAGGTGATCAAAAAAGCGTTCACAAAAGTGTCTGAAAGTTCTTAAAATGATGTCCTCTAATTAGAGAAATACTAAACCCTTAAACTAAACAAACCGCAAAAAAAGGTATAAATTTCGTAATAGTTCATAAAGTATCTCCTGCATTTTAACAACTGAACTTTGAACTTTGTTCATAAGAATGAGTAAATTCGGTAGAAATGTTAAAATTAGTCACTTCTACCATTAATGACGTCCTCTATATACATCACATATAATTTCCATATAAAGCTTTCATCTCACCCAGATCCTTAATGATGCAGTTACACAATTATCGTTAGTACAGCACTCAGTCACACTAGTAAGCACCAGAACAAGAGCAGGTACTTGTCTCGTTTTATTTTCAGCAAACACTTTAATTTCATTGTAATTATTCCGAGAACAATTGTTTGAGAAGAATACAACGTCCACCTATCTGTTCTTCCTTATTGAAAGGAAAGAAAAAAAAAACTCAATTTCAATTAAAAGTGCATTTACAAGTTTTAAAACTCATAAAAATTATGCAAACAGCATATAGTGAATCAAAGTATGTCATCTTCAACTCCGAGTATGCAATTACAAAAAAAACAGTAAAAGCTTATGTTTAATATGTTACAAGTGTTTACACGTATATAATTATGTTATCTGTATATATGACAATCATGGGTACTTGTATAAAACACAGAAAACTTACAGAAGTGCTATAAAACCTCATTTATAAGTACCCCGACTCCTTACAGAAACTCCGAAGTCCTCAGATCTCGGTAGAATCTGACAAGTACCCACAAACAGGAAAGAAGGAAGTCTTCCTTCTGAGGTAGTCATGGCTTCCCGGTATTTTTACTTATTATAATTATATACACAGCATACACATACATACACACTGTACTAACTGTCGATAGTGATATTTTTCCTGATCAGATACCTGAGGTCTATACAGGTCATGGTATACATGAAATATTGTCTTTTTCCCTTTAGATGTTAGATGTCTATTACTCCTATCAGAAGACTGACCATTTTAACATGTCACTCTTTATTGGTTTATTTGATAATTCCTTTAATCTTTGCTTTGGTTTCTAACTTCAAATGACACTACAGAACCAAATGAGCTTTTCCAGTATTAGCAACATCAATGCAAATACATTTAGCCTTGCAATATTATAACCATTCCCCTACCCCACAAATAAAACTACGCTCCAACTGAACTCTTTCCTTGAAAACAAGAGATATAAAAAACATTTCCACAAACAGCTATTGTACCCTGTGTTCTAAAGTATAATGAAGACAGCAGCTTCCTAGTTCTCTCATCAAACAAAGAACCACTGTTCCACACAGCAAACTCACAGAAATTCTGTCCTACTCTAACTCATCCTCTGTCATTATATCATGTCTGTCTGTAATTATACCTGTACTTTCTACAGAATATTCAGGTATATTTATAGATGTGATACTTGTGCATCTATATCATCTATATGGCACACTTTCTTGTCTTCACATTTAAGGGGTAGCCAAAAAGTTAATTTGCATGCAATCTGATAAATGTTCTGCAAAGATGTAGCTTTTGGGTGCTGTGCTGCAAATGACCTATATTTATTGCATGATCAATTATAGACCATTTCATTTCCCTAAATGAATCTTTACATTTATTACTCATGCTATGACAAGTCTTACATAATCAAGAACCTGCATTATGTATCGAATCTTTTTTTGGCTTGAAGTAGGTCTAAAGTAGAGAAGAATTACATGTATAAACACTGGATTGCTGGTATTACAACAGACATTCCTAACAATGGTTTCTAATCTCACTTACTACCCCAGTAATTAGCCCAATTAATATACAGTCTATAGCCCAATATACAGTCTATACAGTCTATAGCCCAATATACAGTCAATAGCCTTCATTCCCTGACTCTACATTGCATGACAGCAGCCAATCACCTTAGAACATTAGCATTTAAATGGAGCAATCAGGGAGTCTGGGGTCATTACCCAATATGGTCATTTATCGTGCCTGTTATTTTGGATTAGTAAACTGATCACATGAATTGTCTTGTGACTGTCACATGGCATCAAAAAGCCATTACTCAATTTGGTCTTTGGTTAAAAAAGGTTCATCAAATCCTCTGTTCTGGGTAAAATAGAGATCAAGCAACATTTCTTAAGTTCATTAGAAAATTCTGAATAAAATCAAGTTTTACAAAATAAAACCAAGAAAAGAACAGCTCCTGTGCTATGTCATAAAACAAAACTCAACCTGGCTTGATAAGGAGGTCCTTCTAAGTCTCCAGATTTGGCAATGCCTATGCTACCAAACAGAACAAACCCCCAGTAATGCTAATAGACTGGTAGTGCCACACTGTATGTAAGATACAGACAGGCAAATAGAACCAACAACTCTCTAAAACTCAGAGAAATCCTTTGTATAATATTGAGTACATTGGGGAATTCAGTTGTATAATATTGAATACATTAGGGAGTTCAGTACAATATGAGTGCTCCACTCAGAGTTCATAAAATCAATGTTCATCATGTGATAAAAAACTCCTTATAAATGGATAACCTGTGTCCCTCCCTCAATATCGGACCCTCTACAGAGCTCCGTTATCAAATTACACCCATTAACTGCTAAATGTTCCTTTATTTGCCCAATCAATAAGAACTTAAAGCTTTCATCTTTTTCCTTTCTCTCTCTCTTTCTCTCTCTCCATCCATG